AAATATATTGTAGCTGAATTAGATAATGTTAGGTAAAGATAGACAAATTCTTGAGCATACAGTATGTTTTAAGTAATTTCCTGTCTCATTAAACATTCTTACATTTCTTAAACCATTATTTATTCAGTTATGTACGTTCATGTCATGTGTCATTAATGTATTTTATGTTGTATTTGTATATGTAATATGGTGATGAACTTACTATAAAGAAATGTCTGTTCTATTCTGTTCTGGTGAAACGTTTTTAGCCTTTGAAACCGATTTAGATTATACTCATCAAAAGTGCCTCATCTGTATTTACGCATTTGAATTATATATACCTATCTACATTAAAAAAAATAGTAAGTCGTGGAATATTTGCTCCAAAGACAAAATCACTCAAAACATTAACAAACACATAGTATGTCATCGGAATAATTCAGTAATGTTCGATATGAAATGTAGTGAACATTACTGTACCTATATTGGAGGCATAATTAATGACGCCGGTGAGCGGCGTCGTCTTTTATGGAATGCTTCGTTTTTTGGCACATATTAGCAGCTGTTATTATTATCTATATTTAAACAGCTTTAGTAAGAAAACCTTGCATACAAATAGTGACTTTAGGAGAAAATTAATTTTAAACGTATTACATTTTTTTTTGTAATTTCTAGAACCTGATATTCAGTTACTAGGTTCTAAAGCTGTAGTTATACAATATTAAAAAAAACATGGCTACTACTCTAAAACTACAAAGGATGTATACATTTTTGCTGCATCTTTGATTAAGTATAACATATAAATGGCTTGTTAAAGCGCTGTTTAATTTAACACTAAAGCCATGTTACATTTTATCGTATTGAACATTACAATCGCGTACATTAGAGACATCACGGATAAATTTCGCTATGAAGTCAGAGTACTGTCACCTGATCAATTACGCATTCAAGCTCTGAATGTCATGTGATAAATTACGCTTTAAATTTCTGTTAAATGCTTTAGAATATTGTCACGTTGTCAATTCTGTTCAGTGATTCAGAATGTCATGTGATAAATAACGCAGAATTGCAAATAGAAGCCACACCAAGTAATGTAACACTATCAAAGAGTGTCAGTACAACGCAACCACATCACATAGCTCTGGAGTTATACCTTTTGTTTCAGAAGGCTCCAGAGCAACCGTACAAACACATAGCTTCACATTCACATTTCCCCCTTTTGTTTCAGAAATGCTCCAGTGGCAGATGGCCAATGGCAGAAAGAACTTACATTTTCAAGAGAGCTCTTGTTAGACACGCCTATGAAATATCAGTATTGTTAATACAAAAACAGAATGCTCAGGTTTTCATTTCTTTATTTCACATTTAACTGGTACCCAATTCAAGTACCAATTATTATATTTTATGAACAGCATAATTATTAAACAAACAAAAAAAGTGTTCTGTATGTTATAAATATCATAAAAATCTAAATTGTATCATACAAAATGAAATGATAATAATGTAAAAGACACACAAAAAATAACATAAATACTTAAAATCATATTCAACCAACAAATGTGGCCCACAGTTATCATTTAATGAACATTAAAATTAGATACAAGTAAATTAACAAATGAACTGGGATTTTTTTCCAACAGATAGACACAAAACGTCTTTTTATCATTCAAATAAAATAAAGTCTTAGAAGGAAGAACAAAAGGCATTTTTTCCAGCAGAACTAAAATAGTGCCCATATTTATGTATTTTTGTAGTATTTGAACCAACAAACAAATATCAATGTGATGAAATTAATAATTACCCGGTATCTAAAGTATTCAAAGCAAAAAAGAGACAAAAGATATTTTCCAAAAACAAACCAAATTTGCACATAATTATGGTAATTAGTTTTTAATAACATATCTGAATTCAAAATACTATAGAAAGTCACATGACATAAATGGGTGGGGCTAAAAGTGATTTTGGCAACTGGCAAAATTTCATGAGGGAAAAAAATGTTAAAGTAATTAGTCATGTTAAGACAATTGTGTGTGTTGTGAAATAATAATATTATAAATCAGGGACTTCATTTTATCGCTATGTAAACATAATAAAAAAAAAAATACATAGTAAAATTTACAACAGTTTAATGAGGTCACTAACTATAACATGTAATTATTGCTTTCAAAACTAAATTAACATTTCTGTTCTACAATTATTATTTCATTCTATTATAGCAAATTTAAATTGGCACAAAATTAGAAAACACCCATTTCCTCCCCTGAATTTAAGTAATTAACAGTCCGGCCTTGAATTTGGGACAGTCAATTGTTAATCTAAAGGGGTTTCGTGGTAAAATTGCTTATATTGAATGAAAATATACTGGAATAAAATGATTTCATTCAGGTGACATTAAAAATAATTTTGGTGACATAACACCTAAAATTGGTGATGTTACACATAAATTTGGTAACATTACACTTACATTTGATAATGTTTTACCTAAATAGGGTGACATTAAACCAAACTTTGGTGCTATCACACATAAATATGGTGACAATACACCAAAATATTGTAATTGTTAGAAATAAAGTGCATTTAACTACAAAGATTTGATAATAATTTCTTGCAGTGGCAGTAAGACAGACAAAGAAGCAATTTCTATACAATTTTACATCACACATAATACAGGCAAATAAAATTCAATGCATAGACATAACAATATTTATTGCAAAAGTTTATAGAAATGTAGAAAAAAAAGAAGAGAAATATAAGAAATATAAAAAGTTAGCACTATTGAATAAGGCATCAGCTTTGCTGAATTCTGTTAAAAATGGCCACACCTTGATACACATACGTTATATTTTAATCCCTCTCCACCTTGGGTTTTGTTAAAATGGACTTGTCTTCCATTGCATTTAGACAATTTCACTGCTGATTTCCAGGGAATTCAAGTATGGAAATAATAAATCTGAGCAACTAACAGGCTTGGTCAGGCTACATAATGTTCAGGCTAGCCTGGCAGTATAATGATAGCATATGTGTTTTTGCCAAGGGCACTACCATGGAAAACAGCCTTAGATAATTTATGCAAACAATAAAATAACCCTGTCTAGGTCTCAAAGTCCTATACCTGTCTTATATCACAATATTTAAATAATTACTCTTTGAAAATAAAAATGGTTATAGACTTGACAGGAACACCTTTATTACAAAACAGAGCTATCACAATGAATTCTATTATTCAAATCTAATAACAGGTTGTAAAGCTTCATTTCAAGTGAAATTACGAGAAACACACAAACTGACCATGTACATAAAGGTTAAAAGTACAACTATTAAGTGGCTTCCCCCATCCAAGTAAAATCAACAAACCAACAAAACCTTAGTTACCTCCCCTGATGGTCACCATAAAATAATGTTCAATTATGTCAATCAAAACTACCTTCCAGAAAATGGGAAGTGCTACATATATCTATGTTGACAGATGGTTGTTTAATTAGAATCACCTTGCTATTATCATTACTTGGGTTTCAGATGACAGGATTTCTAAATGTGGTCTTTGTTAAGAGTTGGTCTTTATTATCAGTTGATTTTTAGCACAGGTTTTACTACTTTTTACAAACATGCACAACTGTATTCTCTCTGTACTATGTTTAAAAGGAGGAAAATGTAGAATATCTTAGCTTAAAACCCTAACAATATGCTCAGAAATTGATGTTACTCATAATTATTATGTTTTAAGGCAGCAAGTAACTATGGCAACTAATAATGATAAAAGCACCACATTTAAATCACATCTTTCTAGTTATACATGTAGTTCACTGGTGAATCAAGTTTAATTCACAAGTGAATCAAGTTTAGTTCACTAGTGAATGAAGTTTAGTTCACTTGTGAATCAATTTTAGTTCACTGATGAATCAAATTTAGTTCACTGGTGAATCAAGTGTAGTTCACTTGTGAATAAAGTTGCAGTATAAAGAAATATCAATCAAGTATTTGACAGCTAAAATGTGCTGGAGAAAAGGAGGCAAATGATTTATTCAGAAAGCTAAAATAGTTAAATAAAATAACTGCCCCTGTATGTATTGAAAAAGATAAAATGCAACTTAAAAAGTTATATTTACTAATCTGATGTGATAAAAAAACACCATAACCCTTGCTTTTTCAAGAAGAAGACACCTTAGGTTATCCGAACATTTTATTATGACCAAGCACTTCTGAAAAATAGATTTACTCTTAATTTACATCCCTCCAGACAATGATTCAAACTGAAAGAATGTAACTCATGCACTTTTAATAACAAAGATATTTACCGTTACAGACCAGTTTTTCTTTATAAAAATCAATTTTATCATTCAAAGGGTAACAAACATTTAGGTTAAAACCTACAGCACCATGACTCATGCCATAACCCCCAAGTCAGTCCCTATAACCACCCATGATGACAGTGTGTACACCTATTTGTATCTGATAATAAATCAACACAAAACTTTTTTTACCGATGAGATATATTTTATATCAAACCCTCTTAAAAACCTCTTTATTTAATGGTATTATTTTAATATAGAAAACATGTCAGTCAGAACGAAACTCATACCTCTTGCTTATATGCCAGTGAAAATGACTGATATCTCATCTTCTGAATGAGATATAAATCATATTTTTATTAAACAAACAAATATAATATTTCTCATCACAATAAAAAATTATGATGTCAACCAGCAACTTAAAACATATCTTGCATTTCAGGAGCTAAAAAAATGTCTTTCATGATGTTTAACATAAAATAAATGATCAAAACAAAGTACATATGAGCCGTGTCACGACAAAACCAACATAATGGGTTTGCGACCAGCATGGATACAGACCAGCCTGCGCATCTGCGCAGTCTGATCAGGATCCATGCTGTTCGCTTACCAACTCTATTACAAGTAGAGAAACTGATAGCGAACAGCATGGATCCTGATCAGACTGCGCGGATGCGCAGGCTGGTCTGGATCCATGCTGGTCGCAAACCCATTATGTTGGTTTTGTCATGACACGGCTCATATGTGTACAGGTAATGATAAAAACATTAAAAAAAAATGTACAAAAATACAGAGGTAATCATGTTGACCAAACATATACATATCTATAATATACAAAAAAACAAAGTCATAACATGTTTCTGATAAAATTACGAGCTAATTATTGTATATTATTGTTTATTATATAGCTCATATATCTAAAAAAAGAAATATTTAGAAAATGGCAAAACTTTATCTAAAAGTTTAAAACTGTGTTCTGTACACAGTAATACAGTAACAGACAAATTTCTATTGAAAATAGCTGAACTTCATCATCTATATCTGACACACATAAGAGACACATAAGAATGAAAAATGTGTCTCCACCTGCATAGTCTAACTACTATGTTCATCATAAAAACCTAATGTAAAAATATTAATACAGGTATTAAGCAGCCACTGTCTTGTAAGATTTGTCTGGTCTGACTGACCTGACTATAAGACCTGTAGGCTGGCCTCTCTATATTACAAGTTAATGAAAAGTATTAACAAGTTATTACAGAAATTAGCATCAAAATTAGCTCAGATTTCAATTGTAATATATATATAACAAATATATCCAACGTTGTAAGAAAGAATGCATTTTAAAACAAGCACAACATAGATTAAAATCTATTTATTTACTTTAATGTCCAAATTCAAGCATAAGAATTGTATTGCAACTACTAGTATTAAAGACTTTTCCACATTATCACTAAATTAGTGCTTAACCAGTCTATATTTTTTTCTATTTTCTTTATCTCTATATAAGAGTTAACAAAAGTCAGGTTTCATTAACATGACCGGTTTGTGAAAAGCAAGGAAAAGAAGTCTGAAAAGCTGTTACATATAACATATTTGCAGTCAGCCCAGTTGCTATACTTGGGGCTGAGAGCGAAACTGGTCCATCTTTATATAGAAATAGAGGCATATATACCAGTTTTGCTCTAAACCCTCGATATGAAGGTAACGAAACATGGCAACAAGTCTATACAATATTATAATATAGTGTAATGTAAACCTCTGTACAGCAATAACCTCTTTAAAACCTCTCTATCAATACTTTTCAAAAGTAATAATTCATAATAAATTTCACCTCTTTAGAGCAACTACCCTTCTAGAGCAACTACAAATTTGGTTGTCTCCCAGAGATCATTGCAATACGGAGGTTATACTGTATATCAATAAATACTAAATCATTCATTCTCTTTACATAAGAGACTGGCTAGAAATAATAATAATAATATATGATATTTTTTCAAACCTGAAATGTTCTCTTGTATACCCTGTTTGGTTTTTTTTTCAACAAAAATGAGATTATTTACATGAATGCATTACTGGTTATATTTTACTGGCTTTAGAGTTAATTTTTCGGTAATTCATAAAAAATAATCATTCACATACTGGCAAGCTGTATACATGGTTACAGTACACAGAAAATTTCTATTTCTCAATATTGAACATTACTTATGTACCTTTGCATCTTTATTCATAACAAACAATATTAGATAACACTTAAAATTTCTATCGTCTATTTCAAAAAAGAAAATTGTTAAGAAATTGTTCAAAATACTCGTTTATTTTTTTTGTTGAAACACTTTTTGCAAAACTATTCCAATTCCACTAGAGATTCTTAAACTTGTTTGTTCAATATTTGTAGTCATAAATATTTGTTCCACTTCCAATAAGAAAGTAAAGTTCTTGTATATCTGTGTACCTTTACCCCCATCACTAAAGTCTTACCATGATTTGATCATGTAACTTATTGTGACGACACACAGTATGGCAGAATTAGCCTTTAAACAGACTTAACTAATAAACTATAATATGGCAAAAAATTTAAACATCCTTTCCTTTACCATGAACTATTCACTAAATCTATTTCCCTGAAATTGACTTATCAACGTGCCCTCACAGTATCTCTAGGATTCATTCTCAAGACTGAAGCAAAGTTTTACGATCCTAGAACTACAATACTTGTGAATACCATCTCGTTCTGTCCGAAGTTCCGCACCATTTACGAGCATCCTTGTCAAGCAGCAAAGATGCCCATCTTCTGTCATAAACAAAACTCTACATCTAGAATGCCCTGAATTTATTTTCATGTCCATGACTAAACTCTAATAATTCTCCAGTTTAAAACTCTGGAACATTTAGTTAATAACACTCTCCACTTTAGCACATAACTGGCTTAATTAAGAACAAGACAACCTTGTTTGTAATATGCAGTTTAATGAGAATCCACCATGTGGACCTGCACATTTGCTAAAACACTATGAGGGTTGTCCTGAATACTTGTGTCAATTATTGTTTGTGATGGATCAACCTGTTCTATGATTGGTTGATATCCAGAAAGTCTAGTTTGGGGTGGGGTCGGACTTCGACTCCGCCTACTTGCCACACTGGGTGGCGGTGGTATTGTTGGTGTTTTTGTTGAGGAATGAATTCCTGGTTTATAACGGTCTTTTCCGACAATGAGAGGTTCGAGACACGGTAAACTAGCATGTTCACTGTCGTCATGCGGCGTCATTGTACTGTAACCATGGTCACTATCACCGCCAGCTGGACGTCTGTATGACGTGTTAACACGGTACGGGGATATACTGGCTGGGTTCTCAAATGTTGCCAATACAAAGTTTGTATGACCTACAAATAAATCAATATAATCTTAAACTTATTGATACTGTGATTACCAAAACTGTATGTTATATATACATGTTTATAAGTTTATTTACCTTTCATTTCATAATGTTTTACATGAGAACTTATATCATGTCAATATGTTGAAAAGGGTGTATTAATATAAAATAAAACATTGTCGGAACAAAAAATAATTTATCCAAAAGACAATTCTTTTTTATTTAAAAAACATATGTTGCACTTTTATCATTTTTTATACATTTAAAACTTAATCATTAAATGAATAATAATATATTTAATATCGCTCTAGTCCAATAAGACAAAAATTTCATCGTACCATTTCCATTGTCTTCAATCTGATCCAGATCTTCGGTCTCGTAGAACTGCGAATGTCGATTCTGGTTCTCTGGTAGAGTACTGATATATTGTAGCGAGTTTCGATGAACACGATGACGGTAACAGTATACCCCTAGAGCTAGAATTAGGAAACATCCCATAATTCCCCCTGCTACTGGTCCAACTGGAGCACTCTTTGTGCCGGCCTCGTCATCTCCATCTATTGGTACTGTAATGTAATAATAAATCATGTGGAAAATTGTCTTCATAAACTTTAACAATTAATAAATAAACATAGTAAACATTACAAAATATTCTTTGTCTTGAATTATCTTAACATGGTAAACTTACACGTTTATTAAAATTTACTTATATTTCATGCTGCAAAATAAAGAAAGGTATGGACAACGTAATCCTGCCCCACCCCTCTCCCACACAATACAATATTTGTGGAAATGTAAAGAAATAACAATCAAAACAAATAAATGTCATATTGTGTGAAGCACTCACTTTCTCAGAAGCAAATATTATCTTTTTTCTGCTTTTCTGAAATATATTTCTTTATGCTAGCAGCTATACAGTCTGTACAGTCAAGCCTATGACTATACAAGTTGCTCTATTTGAAGAGTTTTGATGATGAAACCTCTTCACACATCATTGGATAGTTCCAATATCAAAGCAAGGTAAAAACCATTTGACAAATTAAGCAGGTTGAATTTTCATTATATCATACTTACACACTGCTCTGTCACCATAGGGATTTGGTGCGCCGACTACCCCTCCAAAACAGGCGGCTTGACTAGAGCAAAATGGGTGGGGTAATGGTTTATGTACCTCCATGCCATCTTTATCATAGGAGTTCAAACCTTTAGCCTGACACCACTCACAACCTATCACTCCCAAACAATCCCTGTATAGTTAAAATGGTACAATTAGTTTCAAGTAATTTGTCGCACTGTTGTGGACAAAATTTTATTTTTAATGTTTCGCACAAAATGTCGTAATTCATTAACTTATATTTGTCTAAAGAAGATATTTTTTATTCTGCCTACACTGTTAACTGTTAGAGATGTATAAATATCTCTTAAAGCAATAAAATGCTATAATAAATATATGTTAAAAGGAAAATGAAAGTCTTTTGCAATACACTTTTTCTGAAAAACTTGTCTGCTTAAGTATAAATTCCAACTTAATCAGAATTTTTATCATTTCACCACACAATGCATGACTTTGTATATTCTCTTTCATTCATAAAATATCATTCAAACCAAGCAAAAATATCTAAAATCACTATATCATATTTAAAAATATCACAATAGTAATTGTCCTTTATAAAATATGCTCGCAACCAGAAAGTTAAATTTAAATAGAAATGATATTTCACCGGCTTATTTAGAGTTCATATATCAAAACATTTTCATGCAAAAAATGCACATAAGACAATCTATATAAAACTTACATTTGTGTTGTTTTACTTTCACATTTGACATTGTTACATTGACTGAGACCATTGGTCATATCTGAATCTATTCGAGGTATTCTTTCCTTCTCCGGGAATCTAGGACAACTTGGGTTCCTTTTAAGATAAAGTAATGTTAAGTTTTGAAACCTCTAAAATAGTTAAACAATTGGCACTATATGTTGGTTATACAAACTTTTTTATTTAGAAGCAAACAATTGTAATTAAGCTTATATCAACACGCTTAAATATGATAAGTAATAAACCCAGTATAAATATGTCAATTTTTCAATGTTGAACTCGTTAACTAGTTAATTGGTTTACTTGTGTGACAGAATTTAGTAGCAATTCTGATACAATGTATTTAGAATTTTAAAATAAACAAATATGTCATGACAAATTTTTGTGGGAAACCAATTTAACTTTGTTCCTGAAAAAGACATTTACATATATTTAGGACTAAAATAAGCACCACTCAAAGTAAATGGGCTGATCTGGACCAATATCTTGTTTGGGGAAATCAAAGTTTACTTACATATCCTCAGATTTTAGAAGATCCCCAGTACAGAAGTCCATGGCTAGAGGGCACTCACATGGACATTCACATTCCACTTGGCCCATCCTGTTACAGTTCAGACATAAACGGTCAAGCTGCAAATAAATGGTTAAGAAGTTCCAATTAACATAACAAGAGCTGTCGGTAGGACAGCACGCTCGACTATTCTAAGTGCTTGATAGTAAAAGAGCCTTGATAATTTTAAATTTTTTAAGTTCACAAAAGAGCTAATTTTTTTTTTATAAATTCATGTTATAGGCCTTAGAGAGAGTCTAATTATACAGTATTGGCTTGACTATTCGGAAGGTAATGTCACAAGGGTGTTTTATTGAGTATAATAATACTAATTACCTATGAATACATAAATTTGACAGAAAAGGTACAAACGCTTGTTATTAAGATGTTTTATCAAGTAAATCACTGCTTTATTATTATGAATGCATAAAATTGTCCCAAAAAAGGCACAAACCCATCAGTAGTTATTGAGATAACAGCTTACAAGCAAAACTTTACCATGAATTTCTAAGTTGAAAAAGGGCAGAAAAATCAGCCTAAATGCAAGATAGAACTATGGATCTTTGTCAGTGGCCTACAATTATGACCCTAAATGCATATGTGAAGTTTTAAATAAATATCTTTAATAGTTATTGAGATATGTAAAACTTGCATGTAAACATTAACCAAGAGACTAAGTAGAAAAGGGGATATGAATCAGCCTTAATGCAAGATAGAGTTATGGAACTTGGTCAGTGACATACAATTATGACCCTCCAATTATGACCCTAAGTGCATGTGTAAAGTTTCAAGTAAATATCTTTGAAGACCTTTAACCAAAATTTCTAAGTTTCAAAGGGGCAAATAATTCTGCAAATATTGCAGTCAGAGTTATGCAATTTTGCAAACTGATGTACATTGTTACTATAAAAAAGTATTTTAAATTTCAATTGAATATCTCAAGCAATAATTGAGATATTTGACTTTACAAAAAAACTTTAACCAAAATTTCCAAGTTCCAAAGGGGCATAATTCTGTCAATATTGTAGGCAGAGTTATCCAACTTGTCAATCTGATGTACCTTGTTACTATAAATAAGTATTGTAAGTTTCAATTGAATATCTCAAGCAATAATTGAGATATTTGACTTTACAAAAAACTTTAACCAAAATTTCTAAGTTAAAAAGGGGCATAATTCTGTCAATATTGTAGGCAGAGTTATCCAACTTGTCAATCTGATGTACCTTGTTACTATAAATCAGTATTGTAAGTTTCAATTGAATATCTCAAGCAATAATTGAGATATTTGACTTTACAAAAAACTTTAACCAAAATTTCTAAGTTAAAAAGGGGCATAATTCTGTCAATATTGTAGGCAGAGTTATCAAACTTGTCAATCAGATGTACCTTGTTACTATAAATAAGTATTGTAAGTTTCAATTGTATATCTCAAGTAATAATTGAGATATTTGACTTTACAAAAAACTTTAACCAACGCAGACGCCGATGCGGACGCTGACGCCGACGCCGGGGCGACTACAATAGCTCTCATATTCTTCGAATAGTTGAGCTAAAAATGATAATTTATTTGTATAGTTTTAACTCACTGTGACACACTTGGCACAGTAAATGTCATATGGCCGTTTTTCCAGCTGACTTTTATAAAGAGTCCTCAGATGCATTATTTCAGGCACAGACATCCGAGTAGAATCAATGGCCTTCTGTAAGCCAGCTGGATGGCTACGATGTAATTCGAGCCAGCAGTATTGAAGGGCAAGTGGTTTGAAGTCAGCATTCTTTACCACTTGGCCACTCTGGCCCAATTAATAATGAAAAGGTTGCCATAAAACGTACTATAAATCTATTTTAAGATATGTTTCTAGTGTTAGAAAAGAGAACCCAAGTTAATATTAATTTGATTGGTGGTCCAAAATATTCAGTTATATTCATTTATCAACAAATCTATATATTTTTTTGATAACTTACCATACTACAAGGACAAAAAGCTGTTGCCAGGTCACAGGTATGGTTGATCATTCCAAGAAATATATTGGTTCCCGGTACAGACACTATCTGGTACCTAGCGCAGTGTTCTCCGTGGACTAGGTTAGTTAGCACTCCATCAAGACTTGTGTTGAACTATTATAACATAAGAAATACACACAATTATTTAATCTGAAATGATATCTTATTTTTCACATAATTTGTTATAATAAGTCAAAAATTTTTTGTTGGGTTACAAGTTACGCAATGTCAAGTTTATAGGGCCAATTTTTACCTTTACTGGTAGAGGAGGTTTTCAAGTGCCCTTTCATGTATTATTTCAGACAAAAGCTGGAACCCAAGTAGAACCGCTGATGTTCCATTGATGTTCTGTAAGCTTGCTGGAAAGCTGACATACATTGAAGAGTTCAAAGTCAATGAAGGGATTTTAGCCCACAGCAGTGGGCAAGTGTTTCCAAGTCAAACAACACCCCCCTTCCCTCTTCCACTTGAACTAACCAAACACATTTTGTAATATGTGAAAATATTGACTCCAGTATACCCCCTTAAACTTTGACTCCAGTATACCCCCTAAAACTTTGACTCCAGTATACCCCCTAAAACTTTGTCTGAGGTATAATAGAAATATCAGTACTGTACCTTGTAAAACCTCTGTATAGTCCTATCATTATATCGGTTACATAACTTCTTGTGTACAAAATGTATGTGGTTGAGAATATCATTAGCAACAAGTGGCTCCTATAATAACAAAGAATATCATTTTATCTTATGCTGTTCTATAAGATATCATCAAATATCAGTGAGATATGTCATATCATACCGTTTGAAACCAACAGAGGAGTAGAATTCTGGTTCAAATTCTATGCATTGATAGATATGACAAAAAGGTAGTTCATTTCTGTGCTGTCATGAATATAGGTAACATCAAACACATAAGTGTCATTTAGCACCAATTGTGGTAACATGTGACCAGTATATTGAATTTGTTAGGTTTTACGGCCCACGACACAATTTAAGTCATATGGCATCAAAACAGAAAAGATGCTTTTGGCTAACCTCAGTGTTACAAACTTAAAGCAATACCACTGGTCAAAACCACCTCACCTGCTGGAGCTTAGAGATGCATAGACTTTTGTTATTCCAACCCATTAAGTCGCCTCCTACTATCACGCATGGATAAACAGTGGCTGCAATACTGATGCCTCAACCCATTAAGGCAACCCCTAAGTCACAATGGAAGTATGATGGAAAACTATAGTATGCACCATAAGGTATAAAGAATATATATTTCTTTGACTAAATATGGAACATATCTCACTTTAAAGTGTGAATTTAATAAAATAACTCATATACTTTCACATAGATTATTTTCGGAAGAAGTAATACCTTATGCGTTATATGTTGTTCTTCGACTGGACCGTGACCATCAGGTTCTACCAGTGACGGGTGTGCTATCATATAACCATCATCATTAATCAAGAAACATCTGAAATTATTAACACATCAGCAAATTAAATATATTTATAAAACTTGTCCTTTTAATTAACAACAGAGCACTACACAGAGCTCTAGCTTCTCATATATTCCTATATGCATGTACACATAAAAAAGCCTGACTACATATGTGAACACAGTTCTACAAAATCTGGTAATGAGATAAAAAGTTAAATACCTCATCCTCATATATTTTAGCATAAGCATCCCATAGCTAGATTTTATAAAACACAAAATTTTGTTGCAAATCATAAATTATTCATAACATCTGTTATTCTCATGTACTATGAATATTTATAGTACAAGAAAATGATGTTCAAGGCTCTAAAACTAACCATATTGAAGTCCTACATGGTAAGCTGAGGACATATAAAGAGCTTTGTGCAAAACTGTTGTAACTCATATGTCATACAAAAGACACACCCGTTTTTTCACCAAGCTCTTGCTAAAACTGACATGAATGGTGGCACAAATGGATAATGAGACAGCATGGTGGTAAATTTACGATCAACATACCTGACACCAGCCAATCTACACACAGATATATGATCTAGGATCATCTTGTAGAAGTAACCAAGTGTTACATCCATCCCCATCACAGCTATGATTTTATCAGAGGCACTATGTAGAGATTGAGCTCTGAAATACAAAAATATTGTTCTTTGTAAGCTGAGCTTTACAAGGAAATACAGACAAAATCAAAATGGAAAACAAATTCTATTTGCTAAATATCGTACATTAGCTGTCCCAATAATATAGGCATACTTAGCTTAGTAATGGCAGATTCTAAATTAATTAAACTAGATTTGCTGCTCTTAGAAACAGTTACAAGAAAATATTTTTATCTAGTTGAAATACACTGTAAGCAGGGACTACCTTGGACTGAAAATTTAGGGAGAAGTGACTTCTCCCTTCAGAAAAAATAGGGAGAAGTTTTGAAATTAAGGGAGAAGTGATCATCACATCGAGTTATATCATTGGATTTTTTTTTCTAATTTTATTTCACAAAATATACATGTACACCTTTATATGTACATGCATATAAAATATACATGTATATGGCATGGAAAATAAACAAATGTGCATTTGAAAATCGCTATGATGATATTTAATGAAGTATTAGTTGCTCAATAAAGTTTATTTAAGCATTTCATTTACATCAACACAACATTTTTAATTTTTTTTTAGGTTCAACAGTTTCTGATGCAATTTATTAAGAAGAAAAGTTCTTTAATTCATAATAATTATCCAAATTCTATCAATTTACATCAGTTTTAATGATGAATATTACTATTATAAATGTAATGGTGATGGGATATTGTAAATCAAACAGGACATATAGGGGAACTAGTAAATCAAACAGGACATAGAGTGGAAATTGTAAATCAAACAAAACGTTTAGGGAATACTGTAAATCAAACAAAACGTACAGGGGATATTGTAAATAAGACACAAATATACGTTTGAGGTAATTTAATTATCAATTAGCTTGCTTTTTCATGTTTTTATCATCTGCTGCATTCATATCAGCTTTAATTTACCGTATAATCAATGCGCTATTTTTAGCGATGTGGGTTTCCAAGTGTGAATTCCAAATGTCGCTATGGCCACGCTTCAGCGCATGTGCTAATTACATCAGATTACACAATTAAATCTGCCTCCAGGCTCCAGGCAGTTTTATCAGTGGAGAAATAAACATGTCAGATATTTCATAGAGATTTTAGGGCGACTAGAATTTCACTTTTCTGATCATATAGGGCGAAGTGAGAATATTTACAGCGAAGTTTTCGCCTGACTTCGCCCTGAACGCAGTCCCTGCTGTAAGGATAATATTAAAATCAATGTAGAAGAAGATGCATTTTTATTCTATGAAATTAGTCCAGTTACAAGGAGGAATTACTTACTGCCCTTCAAAGATAGTATGACTTATTGTAACAATATAGCCAGCACCGCCCACATCCAAATATGGAGCTGTCAAAGTCACCTGACCTGGGTACTGCATTGCTCGTTCATACCTTCAAAATAACACCAGAGATATAAATTGACAACTTCTGAAGATAGACTCACATTACGCATGAACTTACAATAATGAGCAACTTTCTATTTCATTATAATATTGTTAATGATAGTAAATAACCCAGAGAAACAAGAAATTGTGCGTATTTTTCTTAAAATAAGACACATTTCTGATATTCATTTAGAAAAGCCATGACATTAATTTCAAAGAATATAGTAAAAGATAGTCAATGCAAATGCATTTATTTTTCAAGCTTTCCTTTTTATTTCACACTTGACATTGTGTTACCATGATAGTTTTGATTATAGAAATTGGGTTTCAAATAAAGCACCATGCTTATGTTTTACATGGCCTGTCCTCTCTTTGGGTTTATTAAACTAAAAAATACAATAAAATAAAGCATTTTGAATAATATACTTATGAACTATTGTAAACTTACCAAGGCTGTTTTGTTGGATCATATGTCTCATCAAATAAGGCCCCAGGATACGACCGAAACACTCCACTTGGTGTTGTAATGTAACGCCTCACAATGTAGTCCTTCAGTTCACTGACCTTAAATCTACGTTTCCACACCTTATCAATACCTGCAGTGGCAGCTACATCATTCCTTACTGTTTCCTGTAACAATGAAAATAATTTTCAACACTGTAAATGATATAATAAAAGCTCATTAGCAAATTCAGCTCCTATCAAAGTAGAATGAAAATCCTTAGATTTAAGACCGAACTTAGAAAATGTTTTATATCCTTGAGGCCAGTATGTTTAGTGCATTACATTACCCTTGAAACCAGGATTTAGCATGTTCTATTACCTTCAGACTATGATTAAGTATAACCTTATGGTCAGGATATATTGAGTTATACAACATTGAAGCAGGACTTTTGTTTTAAATTATCTCAATTTTACTATGTTCACTTGAAACCAGGATTTAATGTTATATTACCCAAAGACCCAAATTTAATGTGTTATATAACCTTGAGATCATAACTCAATGTTTAATCAACTCAAAACCAGAATTTAGAGTATTATATTACCTTGAGACCAGGATTACTGATAAGCCTTGTGTCATCTTTGAGATATGCCACATAACTCTGCACCATTCTTTTGTTTACACCCTGATTGAGATGTTCAAATGGGTTCTTAAAACTACTGGCAGACAGGAACACTGTGCTAGAATCTGTAAAATCATAACACATGTACAATATCATATATTTACCCTTACAAAAAAAGATTTTCAATTTTTGTTTTTGCTATCTGAACATTAATGTTTGTTTGTTTTGGGTTTTACGTCACATCTACACAGTATAGGTCATATCGCGACATTCCAGCTTTATGGTGGAGGAAAACCTCAGGTGCCCCTCGGTGCATTATTTCAGGCACGAACGGGCACCTGAGTAGAACCACCAACGTTCCGTAAGCTAGCTGGATAGCTTCCTCACATGAAAGAATCCAAAGTCCCTGTCGGGATTCGAACTCGCAGCAGTGAGGGGCAAGTGGTTTGAAGTCAACAACCTTAAACAATAATGTGTATAGTAACTATTATGTGAAAGGAAAGATTAAATTTGAAAAAAAGAAAAAGAAAACTAGACTTTAAATACTGCAATAGATATTGTATACTGCGTAAACTTTTAAGGAACGAAAACCAGAGTCAAACTACAACTTGAAACGAGAACATTGGCTAAAACTTTCAAACAATAACATATCCCAAAGAAAGTAACTTCTCTAGGTCTGTTTTAGCCACCTTTAATTTAAATCCTCAATGTTTTCATGCTAGAAGTAGCTCAATAAAGTTTCAAGTTAGTAAGACATCTTGTCAGAGACATGATAAGACAGTAATTAAATTTACCTGTAGTGGCAAGCTGTTTGAGGTGTAGGCACATCTTGTTAGCTGGTAGTATATCTATCCTATGGTACACCAGGTCTGGTAGACTTACTGTTTAAACATAAAGAATTAATTTTAATATTCTAATGTTATTTGTAGATTTCTTTACATTTATTATGTTCTTGTTATTATTTCTTTTATAATTAAAAGTATTCTACCTTGCTATAAAGAGCTGGAAATTTGTTATATCAAAGATTTAAAGGTTAAATACTAAAATTGTGCCAAAAGTAGAGTGGAGTTTGGTAGGCATGTTAGTGGACCATTAATTACTTCAAGCAATCAATAAAGTGATTTCAAAACAACTAAATCAATGCCAATGTAAATTTGACAACTCAAAATGTTAAATAGCACAAATGATTACCGTGATTATTTAGATGCTTGACGAAATCATGCTTCTGTAGGATCTTGATGGCCACAATAAATGGTGTATTATCAACCTGTAAGTGAAACGACATACAATGTATAACATCTTCAACTTTTATTTAAAAACCTAAAACAATTTTGCATTAATAACATGTTCAGTTTTCTTTTGTTATGTTAACATTTCTTTGACAGATGATACTTGTCAACATTTTTTATAACCTTTTAATAAAAATCTGGAAAACAAAATGGTTTACATATATCACTTCAACCCTATACAAAATAGAGCTTCCAACCATTTCAAGATATTATCTTTTCTCTTTTTGTTTTTTAATTGTTGGGTTTTAAGTCAAAATGGCACTGTAAAAACCATACAACAACTTTCCAGCTTTACTGCTGGGGAAAGACCTTGGTAGCCCTTTCATGCATTATTTTTGGCATGAGCGGGCACTAAAGTAGAACCACTGACCTACTGTAACCTAGCTCGATTATTTCCTCACAAGAAAGAATCAAAAGTCAACAATGGGATTCAAACCCACAGCTGTGAGGGGCAAGACCTGTCAAGTTTGTGACCTTATCTACTTAACTGAGAACGCCCCTCAAGATATGATATAACCACATGTAATACCTTTTTCCAGATATATTTAGCATGGAACACCTCATATGTTGTTACAACACCAGTAGAATTGCTTGTTTCCTTAATATACATTGTCTGCTCCCCTTCAGCACGTCTACAACATAACATTAACAAAATATAGTATTTCAAATACATTCCCATTTGAAAATGCTAAATTGCAATTAATCATTCACATAAATATGCCAACAGTTACTGTTTTTGCTGATCAAACAAAAATTTAAGACATATTAGGATCGAAATTTACCCTTAATCTTTACGAAACCTTGTACTTGCTGAACTACAAAGTGACAAAGTCATCAATAACTAGATTAGTGATCACAGAAAATGTGCCAAGATTCTTTGTTTCAACTATATTCTTCATATACTAGAGAAAGTGAAAACCTTTAAAACAGCCAACATTTTTTTCAGAACTGCATGAAAAATTAAATAATTATTACAATCTGATTTTGGACCATGGTTTTTTGTAACATAAAGCATATCTTAGGTTGAGTATATCAATAATTTTTCTCTCTGTCTTATACTTTCATACAATATTGAATGTCATTTCAAACACAGCTTTGAGGGCAAAATTAGTCTATTATCACAACACACGTGCCCGATTTTAACTCCAGTAATACTTCAGATATTTGAGCGGCCCTGCATATGTTTTACCGTAGAACTGTTTCCTATGTACATGCGCTTTAGACGTCTAAACAAACATTAACAAAATATAGTACTTAAATAATTCCATTGTAATCTATTGCATTAATCATTCATAAAACAGTTACTTTTCTATCAAAATTTAAACGGATCTTTATTTTAAAACGTATGTGATAAAATACAATATTAAAATTAGTGTACAGATACATTTGCAATCTTTGTTCACTATTTTCAATAAAGAAATAAAATTATGCCACCAGACGCTGAAAATTAAATAATTATCAATCTGCATTTCAGTTTTGTAACATACATACAGCTCATATATCAATATCCTGTCTATATTTCAAATTACAATTTTAAAATCTTAATATATATAATTCAAAATCAATACTCAAATGCCTTCGTGACGCATCAAAGTGCAGTATTTACCTTAACATGTTACTTCTAACATCTTCAAAACCTGGTACATTTTCAAAATGCCAAATATCTGTATGCATGGGCTGGAGACTGGTTTTGATTGGTCGAGTGAAAGATGGATGCATTATGGTATATCCATTCTCGTTAATCATGAAAGCGTATGAGTTATCTGCCTGGTTGAAGTATGTGATATCCTGAACGAGGTATTCCATGTGTAAATCCACTCCAGATACACCGATTGGCATCTTATTGTGCAAGCATGCCATACTAATACTCATGGTTAGAGCTGAAATATTTAGTTTAAACATATATTATTTATGCTTAATGGTGGGAAAAAGCTTATAGCTTATTTTAAGTCAGTGAAAGTAAAAATAGTACCAACATTTAACAAGGTATAGTATTTTTCCCCCATATTTACAATCAACAAATGTTGTTTTTTTAATACCCTAAATACACTATATAAGCAGAGAACAAGAGTTGTCCTTGGACAGAGTGCTTGACTATTGTCAGCGCTTAATAGTAAATCAAGAGCCTGGATAATGTAGGATATTTAAGCTCAAAAAGGGTCATGATCCTGTCAAAATCAGGACTTTTGGCAGTGACCTTCTATTATGCTCTTAAATAAGTGTGTGAAGTTTCAATCCATTCCTTTCAGTAGTTTTGGAGATACCGACTTGAACACACTGACCCCAGGGTGAGTACAGTAGATGTAGCTCTCCCTATTCTTTTAAGAGCTGAGCTAAAAAAATATACTATTCCATAGATAAAGGAAATTCCTCTGAACAAAAATTAATGACTCCTTCATAATATAAATTTTACCTCCATCAGCATTGTCAATATATGGCAGTGAGAACACGGCATCTTCTGCAGTTGTTTTATTGAATGGCACATAAAATCTTCCCACTGTCATGCTCAGATCTCTCGTGTTGTTTATTGCCAGCATCATGCCATGCTACAAACATTTATATAGATAAATATTAACAAAAATGAGCCGCGTCATGACAAAACCAACATAATGGGTTTGCGACCAGCATACATCCAGACTAGCCTGCGCATCTGCGCTGTCTGATCAGGATCCAGGCTGTTCGCTTACAATCCCTTTGACAAGTAGAGAAACTGATAGCGAACAGCATGGATCCTGATCAGACTGCGCGGATGCGCAGGCTGGTCTGGATCCATGTTGGTCGCAAACCCATTTTATTGGTTTTGTCATGACGCGACTCAAATATTGATATAAATGCAGTATGTGGTGCAAATTGGTCATTTACGTAAATAAGTAATAACTAGAAATGTGGCTATAAACACTGATGCCCCCACATTTCATTGTTTTGTCAGTCTACAGACTGACATTATAAAAGACAGACAAGGAGAAAATTTTTTTAAGCAAAGCCCACTTCCAACATGGGGGGCATAAAATAGATAAAGCTGAAATAACGGAATGTTATAAATAAAACAGATTTTACTTGGAAATTCATCTTAACAGGTGAAAGTTTCTAAACATTATAAGCTTTGTTAAAAAATTATTTTTTATTTCATTATTTTTTCTTTTCTTTTTTTCTCTTTATTTTTATTTTCATTTTCAAGAATAATGTAACTGTATATGGTGGAAACAGAAAAAGACATGTCCTTTATTCAATAAACTCAATACACAAACAGACTACTGTAGAAAGAATATTTTTTACTTGTAACAAAGATAGGATAATACAATATTCTATCACCTACCTTGACAGGTGATTTATTACGAGGACTGACATTATATTTGGTATAGTTCTGATTGGCTACATCCTGTAGGAAACTTTTCTCATACATGATTGGTTTATTGCCTGAAACATTACATGAGCAAATATATATAATATTTTATACTACTGCCTCTTTGTAATGCATATTTAATCTTCATTAGACAATTATATGCTTTTTTTTCATTTTATTTACAACGGTTGCTGAAAATTCTTGAATTATACTTTATTTTAATTAAAGAGAACAATAATTGTGCATAAGATTTATTTAATATTATTCATATTACTTATATTCTTATTACTTATACGATTGTTTCAGATATAAATTATATTTCTACATAATTATGTATTCATCAAATATATATTCCAAGTACTCATTTACATTGGTTTCTAAAAATAGAATATTAAACCATTTTCACTTCAAGGAAAGGCTTTCATTTTTCAAGCAATCAAATAACGACATAACATAATGTACTTACTGTCAATAACAGCATATGTGTTGATGATAATTCTGTTGTCCATTTTACCATTATAGAATGCTATAGTTTCCATGACATCTTTAGCTTCGGTCAGAGATGATAACAGACCTCTACTGATATAGATTATCATACCCTCTTCTGCAATAATGATAATAGTAATTTTAATCATTATTTCTACTAATGCTCAAACAGAGCTTTATCAGCTGCAATTCTTAAATGGACTTTTGTTTTAACGGTTTATAATCGATTTTGGGTATAACATAGCCTGGGATTTAGGCGTTGATATTTTTTTTTGCTTATTCATAACTTACGCACTATTTCATACTCGATCGTCATAGATAACACAACATCTCTGGTTTTGATAGTATCAACGCCTGGGAAAACCTGCGGGATTTCCCATGTAATTATTGACTAATGATAATCTATTAATAGACCGATTAGCACGTGACCAACAAATTACATGACTAAATCGAAATCGAGGCGAAGATAATAAATGTTGAAAATTTGACGCCATTTACCATTATAAATTGAGTCCAGCAAAATTATCTGATGCTCACACACTTTATCTACTTTAACTAATCACACATTTTAATTAAATTCACTCATTATGCAATAACCTTTGTCAACAAGTGTTAGTTTTTAATCGGAAATAGTGTTTTGAAAGCGAGGCTCCTTAACTGTTCGTTGAGCTTCGGATCACTTCGTGGAAATTCCGTTTCTATTTTTAGAAACTAGTTTGTTGTTGCATGAGTTATCGTTCTTTTATAACACCCGAAATTTTCGGGGTGTATACTAGGTGGCGCTTCGATCGAAAATTGTATTTCCCCAGGCTGTTGATTTGCCGAACAGAAGCACATAAAAAAAATCGACAGACTGGAACCCAGGCTAGGTATAACAAGGCGAAAATGTAAAGCCAGTCAGCCAACAGTGTTAATCAGTCTGGTCAGATTGCAACAATGATCTTTTTTTTGGTTGGGGTTTACATTGCAACAACACAGTATAGGTTGTATGGCCACTTTCAAGCTTTTCTGTTCGAGGAAGACCTCAGGTGACAGTCTGTACATTACTTCTGTCACAAAGGGTGACCCGCGTAGAACCACAGACATTCCATAAGCTAGCTGGATGACTTTCTCACATGTATAATCTGATGACGACTACAAAGCTCAAACCTACAGCAGTGTTAGGCAAAGGGTTTGAAGTCAACGACCTTAAACACTTGACCACAGACCAACGAAAAAGCTGGCCTTGTTCTATACTCATGGCATTGAAGTACATGAAGGACAACCTTCATTCTAACATGACCTATTCTAGATAAACCTAAGTTCACAATATTTACCTTTGTTAAACTGTTGTAATGAATGACCAATCATTTTAAAGGCTTGCTGGAAACCCAGAGAATGATTAGTAGAAACTGAAATATGAAGCATTAAAAAATTGGTTAACAAATATCATTTATTACATGTAAAAACAATCCTTAATCCAAAAAAAAAAATTTATACCGCTGTATTTCTAAATGAACAGTTTTGGTCAGTATAAAATCTTGAACTCTTACAAATAAATAGCTAGAATCACTACTAAATACACTGCATATCATTTTCTTTTACAAATTTCAAATATTAAGTATACAGTAAAACATACAATGCAAGATCTGTAGAAAACTTACCATCTTGTTTTTCCAGGTTGTCTATAAACCTTTTAAAGAAGAATTTGGATTCAAAGGTCATTGGAACAAGACTGTTCTTAACACAGGAGTCATCTCTAGGATAAGTCACCTCTGATGACAACCCTATCACAGCAATCTGTAAACATACATCAGAAAAATTGGTTAAAATAAAGATTTACTAAATACTATGTACTGCATTAAATCACCCTTCTGTTTTCAAGTTTCAATAACTCAATCTGAAGTTGACGATTCTATAGTAAATAAACAAGAAAATAACTTATAAATTTGCAATGTAACTTAGAGAACTTGTTATTTACCCTGTCATTTTCAGTGAATGAAGCAATCAGATTTTTCGCTATACTTCTTGCCATCAACATCTGCGTGGCACTGAGGGAATTCCCATGATCCATCATAATCACAACATGCTTCGATTGGGGCTGCATTGTTGATACATACACATCTCTGAAATCATAGAAAACATTGTCTATATAATGTGTCACAAAGGTAGAGAACTCTGCATACATTAAATTTATAATCCAACATTAATTACTTTTCCTTACCTTAAGTCAAGCCGGCAACAATTTTCTATTTTATTAACTTTTAATTAACACTTTATAATGAATGGCAGATCACTCCTAATCTGTAGGACATGTGTTTAAATCCCAAAAGAAGTGATATTCTCTTTTAACTCTTTACCAAAACAAGATGAGCATGTGCTTGGTGCAGTAAAAAGCACAGACACTTGGAGGTCAGATCCTGCACCCCCCAACATGATACACCCTTGTAAACATTCTATAAAAATATTTTAAGATTTAAACATGAATGGGACATCATTCTGTATCAGCGATAAAACTAATTTTCCAACAATTTTTACACATATGAAAAAAAAATACCCTAAACACGTTACCATCAAGTCTGAGACCAAGGGTCTGTGGTAAAAAGTTTTTAACCTTTCTCTTTTTTAAAAATATTCTTAACAAGGAAGCCCCCACACATTATCTTCAGTGAATAATAAGAAGAATCAATGATAATAGTTTCTTTTGTGCTTGCAATATACCTGCTACTTTTGAATTAACAAGGATTCAGAAACTAGGACTTACAATTAAAAAGTAGAAGTTTATTTAAAACAATCACTTACACAATATGATAACAAGAACTGTCGGAGGACAGTAACGCTCGACTATTCGAAAATTTGTCACAAGGGTGTTTCATTGAGTATAATAATGCTTACCTATATGAATACATAAAATTGTCCGAAAAGGTACAAACTCTTCAAGTTTCAATACATTCCCTTCAGTAGTTATGGAGAGACAAGCTTACATGCAAAAACTTTACCAAGAATTCATGAGTCGAAAAAGGGGCATAATTATGCAAAAAAAGCAAATCAGAGTTATGGGACTTGTACCAATCATCTTAGATTATCACAGAGACCAAGTGTGTGAAGTTTCAATCCATTCCCTTCAGTAGTTATGGAGATACCAGCTTACACGCAAAAACTTAACCAAGAATTTCTAAGTCGAAAAAGGGGCATAATTATGTAAAAAAGCAAATCAGAGTTATGGGACTTGTGGCAATTATCTTAGATAACCACAGAGAACAAGTGTGTGAAGTTTCAATCCATTCCCTTCAGTAGTTATGGAGATACCAGCTTACACGCAAAAACTTAACCAAGAATTTCTAAGTCGAAAAAGGGGCATAATTATGTAAAAAAGCAAATCAGAGTTATGGGACTTGTGCCAATCATCTTAGATAATCACAGAGAACAAGTGTGTGAAGTTTCAATCAATTCCCTTCAGTAGTTATGGAGATAACAGCTTACATACAAAAACTTAACCAAGAATTTCTAAGTCGAAAAAGGGGCATTATTATGAAAAAAAGCAAATCAGAGTTATGGGACTTGTGCCAATCATCTTAGATAATCACAGAGAACAAGTGTGTGAAGTTTCAATCCATTCCCTTCAGTAGTTATGGAGATACCAGCTTACATACAAAAACTTAACCAAGAATTTCTAAGTCGAAAAAGGGGCATAATTATGTTAAAAAGCAAATCAGAGTTATGGGACTTGTGCCAATCATCTTAGATAATCACAGAGAACAAGTGTGTGAAGTTTTAATCCATTCCCTTCAGTAGTTATGGAGATACCAGCTTACATACAAAAACTTAACCAAGAATTTCTAAGTCGAAAAAGGGCATAATTATGTAAAAAAGCAAATCAGAGTTATGGGACTTGTGCCAATCATCTTAGATAATCACAGAGAACAAGTGTGTGAAGTTTCAATCCATTCCCTTCAGTAGTAATTGAGCTTACATACAAAAACTTAACCACAGGGACGCCGACGCCGACGCCGACAAATGGGTGACTGCATTAGCTCGATTATTCTGCGAATAGTCGAGCTAAAAATACTAAGACACAGAATGTTTATCAACATGATATATTTTGAATATTACCATAGATTCTTAATGCAAAACAGTTTTAACTAAAGTAACTTAACAACCATATCACACCAACAAAAATACAACAAACATCAGTTATAACCTTTGAACAAATATACCTTTTTTATAGTCAGGTTTTAGTTTTTAAGTTCAAGGACTTTACCAGATTTGCCTTTTCTGAATTTATACATTGCATAACATCACAAAACCATTTTTGATAAAAAATATTTCATTAAAACTGTTTTGTACCAAACCCTTGATTAACAAGTTTCTTTTTTATTTTTTTAAAGGAAACCACACAACATGTTTTTATTTTTTTGTTCATTTTTTTTTTAAGAAAAAAACAAAAAAAACAAAAACAAAACAAAATTAGAGCAAGAAAAAAACAAATCAACAAGAACGATTAGACTTGATTGCCTCAACAATGCTGAAACATACCTTCACATTTCAAGACTCTCTAAAACTTACAGAAAGAGAGAGAGAAAAAATGGTGCCACACATGTTTAATGAAACAAACCCCAAGGTGAACCAAATGAAATATTTTGGCAAGAAAGTACAAAAAATGTTGAGGTAAAAACAGAAATAATTATTCAGGAGCCCAGGGGTCTAACTATATTCTCAGTGAGCTTTAAGATCTAAGAGAGATGATGTTTTACATCACAAATTAGATCTTACATCACAGCTAATATTGCATGAAAACAGGAGGATAAAAAACAAACAAGAGAAGTCTGTGGAATGTAATAAGAAATTGACATTATTAAACTGTTGATTGTCTATGCTTAGTTTATTCTTGTTTATCCTGAAATTCCAGAAATTTTGCAATGGCCTTTTTATGCCACGAGTTCTGAACTATTCAATAATTCAAATACTAAAATTGAGTGGCCTACTGGTACATTGATGTGTAGGTTGACCTGGCTATGGACTTGTGGCATAAGTCTTAATGTCCGAGGTCAACTGTCATCGAGAAATTTCCCATTGCCCAAAGACTGAACCAGCAACCCTGGATAACAAATATGCTGCTCTCCATATTAAGCTTAGGTGGGTTAATAGACTTATTGATTAAAATACTTGTTTCAAAGAATTTTTTGCAAGCAATTATGCAACAGACCAGATAATTTGCGGATTTTGCACAAAATTTGAGAAAACAAGTTCTAGAAATTAAACTCCAATAGCCAACAAAATTGTTTTTGAAATGGAAAGAATAAATATCATTTGTTACACATCTTGAAATTCACAAAGACAATGTAACTTAGAACTTAAACAAAAAATTCTTAATGTAAAATGCACACTCTCTTCCTTTGAACTTTAAAACATTTCAATTAATCAGTACATTCTTTTCTGCAGAAAACTGAACAAAATCTAAACAAGTAACAATGACATTGCAAATTTCTCTATCCATTTATCAGATTAAAGCCTGTAATTATCTCTATTCATTTTACGCCACAAAAGGGTGCAATAATTCAGACTTGCTATTTAAAATTTGAAAATAACCCTATCTATTTACTTAAATCAGCTGAATAAACTTAACCTTTAACCTCCTAGATTTGTGTAATGGACTTGCCAAGATTTGAATTTGGAACAGTTCATTTTAAAACAAAGGGATTTCAGTATTAAAATACAAAATGTGAGTTACCAAACAGTATAAAGAATGGTAAAACTGCAAGAATGTGCGGATTGACCAGACTCTATACTGACGGCAAATTAAGACTTATCACTTTAGTTCCAGCAATTGCTAAGAAAGTAATAACACAAATTTTATCAGATCTTAAAGAGAAAATATCTTAGCCTACTTTGATTTTTGTACACTTCATTTTTTAAAAAACATTTTCAGTAATTCATAATAACAAAGGTCTTATCAGCAATTAAAATATATAATGTATCAACACATGGCCAATGTTTGCTCATTCTTGTTTTTCAATTATTGAACATTCAACAGTTGTTACAGCAACCAAGTTAGCCCCGCTGAATGTTGCATATTTATACTTATAGAATTCAAAATGTTTAAATGTAAAGGCACTGGTAGCTTGTTAATTCAAATTTGATATATATTTATAGCAGGCTTTGTTTTCTTTTTCTACCCGTGTTTTTGGTTTTAAGTAATAGAAACATTGAATATGTCATACAGTGCCTTTCGAGCTATTCTGGTGGATGACTTAATGTCTTATTTAAGGAACAAAAAACCTTCCAAAAGCTAGCTGGAGTCCTGAGCAAGATATGAACCTACCCCAAAGGATGTTACAGTTTAAAAGAGATTGAACAAAGATCACATAGAATATTAACTAATAACTATCACTACTTTATCAATTGAAAATCAAATTATTTCTAATTGAGAAATAGTGCTCACCATTGTGAAAAAATTTTTTTTGCATTAAATGAAATGACCACAGGATACTGTAAAACAACACACAACAGCATGTGGTAAATAAAGAGTATCTGGAACAATTTAAATCTACCTGTAGTATGCGTTCATGTATTATAAAGTTAAAACCTCACACACCTTTTTTTCAGCTTTTTTTTCAGATTTTAAAGGTAATTGGATGCATGTAAATATCTGAGACAGGAAAACACAGCTCCTGTAATGTTCCTGTTTACAGCAGAATGGAAAGCCCTAACAACCTTGATGTACTTTGAAGATAGTATGTTTATTTGCACTGTGTGCAAGTTTGTGCCTCGTCTAGAGTAAAATTGACAAGTTTACCTATTTAATCTAGTATTTCATTACTTTGATCTCCTATAATTTGAATGCATTACAGTATCATATAATCACATTCTCTGTACATGTCCGTCTACCTAGCCAGTTTAATTACCTGTTACAAGGGATTAAACAAGAGCTGTCAGAAGGACAGCGCGCTCGACTTTTTTAGTGCTTGCCTATAAAACAAAACTTTGACAGTTAAGGGCACACAAGACTTTAACTAGGAATTTCTAAGTACAAATCAAGAAACATTTTCACAGAGTTATCTTCTCTTGCTTACAGATAGGTCTCATGATGGCACATAAGAACTCCAACTTCCAAAGTAATATCTCAAATGGTTAAGTCAACAAGTGGACAAGAATGAAAATTTTAACTGAGTTTCTAAGTCAAAAAGGGCCATAATTCAAATAAAATCCTTAACAGAATTACCTTCTCCTGCCCATGTTTTGGGACCATGATGGTAAACAAGTATTCCAACTTTCAATTTAATATCTCAACCAGTTCAGTCAAAAAGTTGACTGGTACAAAAAAGTTAACCAAGATTCTAAGTCGATAAAAGGCCTTAATTTTTAAAACAAATCCCTGACAGAGTTACCTTCTCTTGCGTACAGATGGGGGTAATGATGTGAAATAGCATTAAAAGTTTCAAAGCAATATCTCAAAGGGTTAAGGCAATAAGTGGATTTTACCCATATTCAATGTATTTTCTAAGTCAAAAAGGGGCATAATTCTGTCAAAAACCTTGACAGAGTTATGTCCTCTTGTCTGTTGATGAAGGTCGTGATGGTAAACAAGTATGGTCAGTTTCAAAGCAATACCTCCAATGGTTTTGAAATAAAGTGAGGTGGTACAAAAAACTTAACCAAGCTCAATACACTTTCTAAGTCAAAAAAGGGCCATAATTCTGTCAAAAACCTTGATAGAGTTATGTACTCCTGTCTGTAGATGGAGGTTATGATGGTGAACAAGTATGGTAAGTTTCAAAGCCATACTTGTAATACTTCTGAAATAAAGTGGGGTGGTACGAAAAACTTAACCAAGGTGTGACGCCAACGCCGACGCTAACGCCGACGCCAACGCCGACGCCGGGGCGAGTAGGATAGCTCCCCTTTTCATAGAAAAGTCGAGCTAAAAACGGTTCTTAAATAGTTTCAAATACAAAAAAGCCATCTTGAGGATAATTTATTCTAGCTTTATGCCTCCCAAAAAAACTGGAAGTCTATATTGATATTTATTTCAGCCACAAATGGTTGCAACTCTTTAACCTGCTAAATTATTTGAATGGACAAGTCCAGCTTCCATTTTTGGAACTTTCTTAGTGTCTGGTCAGACTGCACGGATATTGCTGGCATTAAGGTGGGAAAGGCAATAATCACTTTCGGTTCCTGTAGATTAAAGAATTTGAATTTTCAAAATAACAAATCTGAGAAGCTAAGATTTTTAAAATTTATAATTATAGGATGAACGTCTACACCTGTTAACATAATACAGCTAAGGTGGCACTCATTAAGACCTATAACTGAAGAAACGTCTTGACTGCATATTGTTTTATAATATATTGTTCTTGTAGGGAAATTATTGGTCCCATATTAAATTAACTTTAAATAAAGACATATCATTATGACATAAAACCTTTGAATGCTAGACTTAATGGTAATATATAACAAGACCTATGTTACAGAAGTACAATGCATACACATTGCAGAGCAGTCTGGGAAGGCTCTATCCTGTATCTTGTTCATGTGGTTTTGCTATTTTCATAAAATAAAAAACCCTATAACTACTATAAGTCTATTTCAGCTTCAAAGAAGGGCAAACTCATTATACAAAATAACCTTTCACCATGACAATGTCAGAACTTGTTCTTTTGCATAGCATCAATGTTTCAAAGGGCGATTATGAAATTGTTATAGCATGTTTTAGGTATTTATCCTTTACAACAGCACCCTCCTTTTTTAAAAAAGTCTTTATTACTGAATAAATTATTGAACATAACAAAAAAAAAGAAACCAACATTTGTACTGCAGAAAAAAATAAATTTTGCCACATGAAATAGTTTTTTTTTTCGTAACAGTATTTCTTATGTAAAAGAATGATAATGAATTTTTTTAAACCAATTTTTAGAGTGAAAAGAATCAGAAAGCAAGTATTACAAGTGTCTATAGAAAGGTATAACAAGTACTTCAAGTAAAGTTTAGTTGATATAAAATTCTTTATCAAGTATCGCGGCACTTGAACAACTCAAATACACTCTAGATTAAATATTGACAGAATTTTGCCAAATTAAATTGCACCACTCTTCTTGGGTTTGGTAACTTATCGTGATAAAAAGAACGTCCCCTGTATTTGTGAAAAGGTCTCCCTGAGACATTGTGCGATACATCAAACAGTACCAGACACCTGTAAATATTGACATAATCTCAAAATAAAATTGTACAAAATAGAAGAAATATCTTGTCTGAACTACAAAGTCCACTGAAACACTGGTCAATCCTAACAAAGAGTGGAAAACACAATTTAATGAAGAAATGATTCTTATTAATTAGCTCATAAAATATTTTACATTACAAATAAAGGATCAAATTTAAAAGAGAAAATAGTTTGTTCACGGATTTAATATCAAAGAAATCTCTTTCAGATTTCTAGCAACCGATTTGTTTGCGGACTTTATAATCAATAATAAAGAATTGTGAAGTAATACTGTAGTTGTAAAACTGCAACAGGCAAAAATTAATATACAGTATAAAAATTTCAATCACTTGATACAATCACGTTATCATACACTTATATAGTCATATCTCAAAAAATACTTCTATTTAATTAACACACATGAATATTAAAAGTAAACAGAATAAAACGTTCCCTAACAAAATATTACAAAATATTATCGCAATTTTTAAATGGGTTTCACCACAATTGTCCCGTTTAAAAAAAACTATGCAAACAGTTTATTTTTGTTTTTTTGTTTTTTCATATTGGCACTTTAGAAGAATTGTTGTAACAATATAATTCTTCAGTCAATTTCAGACAGCCTTTTTATAGATTTAAAAACCTTAAAAAATGGACTTTACATACGGGTTTTGAACAGAAATATGACCTTTTGACCTAAGAATTCTCAGATGAAACAATTTTCCACTTCCTGTTCGAACCCCCTTTTCCCACTTTTCCTTCAACATGGTTTTTAACTTTGAAATTCTGTTTTATTGTAAGATATACTGCTAAATATTTAAAAATAACTTCTATTTTCAAAGTTTACTGGTCCAATAAAACACTACATGCTAAGTTTTGTAACAAACCCATGACATGCAAATATTGACTAAAAGTTTCAAACAGGAATTTGATGGATAAAACAGAGAATAGCACTCAGCATCAAACAGTTTTCACTGCTAATAAAACACATCATTTCACACCAGATTCAGTCTAATGTTTCAACTTGGTAGTTTTTTGCTGCATCAACTAAAGAATATTAGATGTCTACAGAACAATGCTATCAAATGACAAACAAAATCTGATTTATCCCATAAATAACCACTTGTTGCAAGTTATGGTAAAATTTAAGAGACAACATGGGAAATTACTTTTCATAATGTTCGTGCATGTATATGAATTTAGGGGAAACATAATATTATCGGAAAAAGGCTTTTAAAATATACCACATATTTTTTTTTTTAACCAATATTTGATATAACTTTAGGTCTTGGACAAATTCTGAGACATGTTCATTTTAGGTCAATACAGGCAGAGATATTACCCATACATAAAATAACACAATGTCTTATATACAGCCGTGCAATTAGACAATCCCTGCCCCCCCCCCCCCCCCCAAACCACCCCAACACACCTTCTCAATCCAAAATCTTAAAATTTAGGATTCCAACATATGACCATGAAGAATGAAGATCAAGGTCATGATGATTGTCATATAATAGAATACATAATTGTATTTAAAATAAAATGGAGCTTCATAAGAAATTTGAAATTAAGCATACAGAAAAAGGGCGAACTACAAATCTGATGGTATCAAAATTTGAACTTTTTATTTGGAGTAGCAAATCGTCACAATGCCGCAATTATTTAACAAATATATCAGCAAAGTATGTCAAACGATAAATTCACCCTCTAGAAATTCATATCTGGCATATTCTTTCCTAAAAAGATACTTAGCATCATATGTAATACTGTTTTATAACCACCTGTTAAACCTATAAGCAGAGATTAAAAAATAATCAAATTATCTTTAATAGCCAATATTTCCACATTGCAGAGGAAAATCTGGCTTCCAATTTGCAAACTTAGGAGAGAAAAACTCTGTAAGTCTTGAGGCATTTCTCTCAATTAACCTCTAGGTTGAGAACAAAAGTCTCAGTAATAAATCACCATGATGGAGCACACAAGTACCTGTATATTTCTGCAATAAGCCCCCACCATCTATTGTTGTTAATGAATTTTTCACATGCTCTCACCATGCTAACTTGATCTGGGTAATTTTTGCTATTGTTTCAACAGAAAAATTTGTGTACCTTTTTTTTTCCTGATACTTTTCTATATATTTACTTTCCTATAGTCCCAATGACCTTAAAACTAGTAAAGGGTTGTACTTTTATTAATTTGATTAAAATTCCGCACATTATGATAGCCAAATAAATTTTACAATGTATCTTTACTTAAACAGGAACATTAAAAAAGCATGTATGTTTCAATAGAAATATCAGCCCAAATTGTAAATGGCAGTGTTACATCTGAATTTTTTTTCTTTTACATTCCAGCACCAATTATATGAAGATCAGCCGGCACTACAGTGCTCTCTAATCATTGTCTGTACTGTTTGCTATTCAGTCAGTACCTATTTTGAAATTTCCCTAAAAATAATAACAGTTTTGTCCAGAATGAAAAAATGGACCAATCCATTCAATTATATAGCACAGAAAGGCTCATCATTGGATACCCACTGCCGAAGCATTATCAGCCAAAGCTTTTTGGGCGATATCCAGCTAACAGTTGAAGCATTGGTTGCCTCAAAATTTCATGAGGCAATTAAAATCACTCACGAGACAAGTTTAAATTCATAGCAGGACATGTTCACTCATCCAATTCAGTTTAAAAATGTTTCAATCAAAACATAGACTTCTTCACAACCACACTCTAAAGGGTTCAAAACCTCACCTGTGTCTGGTATCATGCATTGATGGACAGTTGGTCCACTGGAAGGCACTGCCGGGGTACTCATTGTGAATCCCTTCTGTTGATATATAATATTGCCACTTCAAGGTTGGGAAGAAATTCATGTTGCTCTTCCATACTAAAATATATAATAAAAACATTGATAAAAAAACCCAAAAAACATTGCATACAAAACAAGACAAAACTTACTTTAGTTGGGTAAATTTTGTTTAAGAACAAAATAATAATGAAGAGCAAGCAGGATCATATAATTAATATGTATGTATAATTTGAGTTACAACAAACTATACATTGGCAAATTGAATATATATTGTTACTATATGCTATGGTTTGGACACAGCAAGTGAAACAGTCTAAAACTAGGGCCTTTGGGAAGACTGATAGCTTGATGAGTTCTCCTGTTAATAAAGTCTTTATTATTGTTATCATTACATTATTACCTGACTCTACATTTTAAGTTACCCAAGATTTTTTATCTTGATAGCGAACCCCCTTGAATTTCTCTAAATTAAAAAGGTTCTTTTTCCAAACTTAACCTATAACCAAATTGAACTGAAAGCAGTAACAAGGCTGCCACAGTCTGCAAATCCATACAGTCTGACCTTGGGCTCTATACTGTTGGTAGCTCTTTTTTTATATTTCAATATTGAAATCCCTGTATTTTCAAAAGGATTGTTCCAAATTAAAAGCTGGGCAAATCTAACATGTCAAGGGTTAAATCATATCAAGAACATTTTACCAACTCTGCATACAAAAGTTTTGGGTGACATAAATAATATGCAAATTTACATTTACTAGTTTTCTCTTTTCTTAAAATTATCACATAAAAAGCCTATTAACTCAAACATGTCATTCAGTACGTACATTCATGCACTATTTAGTTACTATCTTTTATCAACATTTTTTATTTCATGTTATCATACACACAATTATTTGCCAAAAAAAATCTTCAACTTTATATTTTCTTTATTAAAAGATTGCAGTGAAACATTCTATTATCAATTCATCTTATCTCAACCTGTTTTCAAGAGCTTTCTTCTCTGTTAACAAACATTGTGAAAGTATCGTGCTTTGATGCATGAAAACTCGGAGGATCATAAAATACCAAAATATGGGCCATAAATTGTTCACCCCTTGATAACCACCGTTTCATGTGAAATGTATTGAATGGGGAAACTAGGATACTACCGAAATAACAAATACCTTCACCAAGTTTATGAAATAAATTATTTCCATGGAATAATTTTTTATAATGGACATTTACAAACGGGTTTTTATCAAATCCAAGTTTAAGCGTTTATATGATCATGTAAACTAGGTAGGCAGAGGGGGGTTGGGGGAAAGAGATTATTTTCAGCTTTCATTAAAAAATGAAAATGTTGATGAGATCTAGAACTGTAACAGCCCCCCATGTAGATTGTTATACTTGATAAACTTTGGAGCCAGTGAGTCAATAAGAGAAACCTGCGTGTAGGTTCCTATTATGAGACACAGGTGCGTTGGTTGGGTGAGCTCTTATAGGAGTATGTCCAAAACCACATTATTTCTGTATCATTAAGAAATTAAAGAATATTAAACATACTGTATTCAGAAACACTTAATGTATGATATATAATCATACCCCTCTGACTGTACTATATAAATATGTCAAATCCCTCAGTTACACTGATTTTCGAGTAACGGACCTATTCTACCTTGAAGACATAACCATCCAATATCCGATGTAAATTATTGGGTTTTTAAAACAAAACAAAATAACATTGAGAAGCAATCAGTGTTTGGTGAGATGTACTTCTGCACAGATGTGCTGACTGGCAAGCCTTCATACCGGAGCATAGGTCAGACATTAGCCAAGGTAGCGCTCCAAGAGTTTTTACAAATTACAAATGCTTCAAACAGATAAATTACAAGTTATCAGACAAGATGGTTTCTGTTACCGGAAAGATTATCTCTTTAAGTCAAATTAACTTACATGCATCTTTTGTTTAGTATACTAGCATATTGTAACTCTTGCAAGAGTAATTGAATTGTTAAAGAATGACTTCTTTGTAGTGATGAGACCTTTATTTGTGTATTTACAATTATTTCTAATACTGGTTGGTTTGGTTTTATATTAAAAATTAGTCGCACCAACATTGTGTGGATCATAAGGTGAATTTAACCCTACATTGATGACTCACAACTAGGAAGACTACCAGCGGGTGCTACACATTAACCCTCTGTATTAAGCTAGCTGCATGGATAGCATCTTCAGTTTTTCATCACATAAAGATTTGAAAGTTCCTGGCTTGATTCAAACCAAAATCAGTCGCTCTGAGTGTATTTATACAAAAGAGACAACTTTTGCATTTTATGAATACTCAAACATATTTTAATATCATAGATTACTTAAATTTTTATGCCGAAATCAAATCTATCATAGTATCGACTATTGCTTAAAGAAGATATATTTAAACTCAAAGTCTTAAAACTAATGATAAAATGATCTGTGTGCTCCTGACATTAGTAAAGTACTTATCTTTTATTAAGATTTCTTATCTATGTATAAAGCATGGTGGATAAGGACATGCTGGGTAAAGTACAAAACCAGCATCTGTGATTGGTTAATCTACCTCTTCTCTGGCCAATATATCAGCAAATCTGGCAATAACTGTAGGCAATAACTGTAGTGGGCAATAAATGTAGGAGAAATAACTGGACTTCAAATATCATTCTCCTGAACAGACACAAGGAAGGGTGTTATAACAAGGATTCTAGAATCCTGAGATTCATGCTTTTCTTGTGTTGGTTTAGATGCCATACATGTATATACAGCTTGGGTCATGAGATAATAAAATTTATAGCAAAAAACACTTGTCAGTCTTTACTTTTACAGTATATTTACTTACACCGTGCTTGCTCTAACAGGAAATAATTTATAAGTAAAAATGATCAAAATTTATTAAAAAAAAATTTTACTAGTTTTTTTTTTTACAAATTTTTATGACTGTAGACTACCTTTTTATTAAGGCAAGTTTTGTCACCTAAATACTTATTTCACATGTTAAATTATTCAAATATAAACAAAACAACACCAGTTAATAAAGTAGATATTATTCAATAATCAATCTTAACACTTTTTAAGTGTTTACATTTAAGTACATCATGCATAATGCAAATAATAAAGATCAAAAACCAGACTGATGTTTATTATAGTCTGTCTGACCAGACCCCACACTGTCAACTATTTCGATCCTTAAATCCCTAAAATTAGTAATGGAATATTCCAAATTCAAAGTCGGGCAAGTCCATTACACAAATCGCAAATCGTGTAGGAATTAAATCAGCCAATGAAGCTTACCATACTGACAATAACGAGAAGGTGACAGACGTGTTCAGCCATTTAAATCAGCTTATGACAGCACTGTAACATATTTATCATAATCAATCTGTTGTGAACTTGTCTCGCCCGATCGCAAAATGCCTGCGGGACATTTATTTCCATATATTTTAAGACATACTTGAATCTTAAATACAGTGACCTTCCAACCAAACAATGACTGAGCCTGTATTTTCCACACATTGTCATATATACACTTTTGACATATTCTGACTTATTTTCAAATGCAAATTCTCTTTAAAATCTTCACTAATACAATACAACATTACAAATAAAACTACACAGAAATAGGAACAAAGAAACACCATATAGATCTGTTCCTAAACATTAAGTTTGAAAAATAGATTACAGGAAAGGTATTTTCTAATCACACTACATTAAATCTCCCTTTACATTACTTATCTGTTCTTGAGCACATTTTCCCACTTGTGACAACAGACACTTTCAAAGAGTCAGTTATAAGCATTCTAGCTCAACTTCTACTTAGCTTTATTTCATGGACATTTGGTGGTTCTAGCCTGATGTCACACTCACAACTAAAGAAATAAAGAGGGACTCCCCTGGCTGCTCTTCCCAAACATAACATGATGTTAGCAAGCAGTATAATAAATTTTATCTTTAAACAAGATATCATAACAGTGGTTATGGCATTTCAATACAGAAGCATCAAAGTCAGGACATTGCACTTTTTACTGATATACTTTCACTGTAAACAGTTGGTATCAACTAATCAGTCAACCAGGAAATATCTCAACAGGTACCAATTTAGATCTTTAATTTCATTTCTTTCATGCTTGCAAGCCTCTATGTAACAAAGATGATAAGAGTCTGAGTTATCTACAGGCTTGAAAGAAACCGGTGCAGACTTAATGAGCATTTACACACAAAAACATCATAATACTTGTTATTTCTGCCTTCATGAATATTAACATCATAAAGACCGAGTAGACATCAAAACCAGTTTGTTCTGTTTGAAGTGGTGGAAATAGACGCATGTTTGAAGTGGTGGAAATAGGCTCACAGGTTTTCATACTGATTGAGGTATCTGAGACATGAAAGAATTACGGGAGCCTATAATCCCTCTACAAATATAACACACTCATTTAGCTACCAGGATTATAGCTAGACTTTCATGTATTGTAAATATCAACATTTAAGTACAATATACAGTCATGTACCAAATGCTAATTAATCAAATTCATTAGAACATAAATTAAAACAGTCTGAAAATTTAATACTGTGTTTTTTTACATGTATGAATTAATTTACAGAATGTGTTCAGTGATTAGGTACAATTATTCACATGGTGATCAAATATAAAGTAAAAATACGGTACAAAAGGATATGTAGTCAAGTGGTTGTGGTGTCTACCTCTCCCTCTCCACCAGGGATCCTGAATTCGAGCCTTACCAGGTCAGTCACAGCACAACCAATAATGGTTACCTCTGGAGTGGTTCCAATATTTAGCTTCAAACTTTCCTCATGATCAAGCTTAAATAAATAATGTTTAAATCAAATCAGATCTTAAGTTTAACTGACCTTCTGTGAGATTCCTTCCAGGGTTGAATGCTCCATCAGGTACACGGAATGGTATAAGGTCACAGCTTGTAATCCTAGATATTTTACATCGGTACTCACTATCGGGCCTGTAATGGTGAGCAAAATATATGTATTAGTAATTTTAATATAATAATATACAACATACTGAAAATGATAGTTCAAAATAGCATATAACATTGTCGTTAGAAATAAACCATTTGTCCATGTTAGATGCAATCTCTGAACCCCCAAGAATATAAGTAACTGGCTTTGGGATCAGCAATGCCCAAGTATAAAGATTCATTAGAAGCCCTGCTCGGACAATGAAATGGTAAAATTACAATTTCCACTAGTTAAAAACTATATCTTCCATAATTTTCAGCAAAAAAACTAATTGAAATCAATATAATTATAAATCATGGAACATGGCTTATTTCGACCAATATCCCAAACTCCATTGTGAGACTGGGAAAGCCTGGGTTATAAATGATTGGAGCATAAATTATTAGACAAACATTATGCCATAAGATTTGAGAAAGTTAAAGGCCTGGATCGCATTTTCAATGGCACAGAAACTCGTATAACTTAGTGGACATAACAAACATATAGCGTAAGCTCTGGACAATGGTACCACACATCTTCACCACTTCACCCCAGGCTGAGCTCTCCCACAATATTCTACCACTGTAATAACTGATTGATTGGAAAAAATGCAGAAGAAACGCTGGCTATCAATAAAGATAAGAAGCTATCAGACTTGTAGATATCCCAGTCTCTCTAACAGCTATTATATAAATGATGCAACGAGACATTGTGATCTATATGAAATCAATGAAACATCATAGATCAATATTTGTGTATCATGTGTAGTTTTGTGGAACCAGCCTGCCAATAAAATCATCTGTAACAAGCTTTCCCATACAAAGAATCTTCTCCCAATATCCAAATTTATTTATTTTTTTTACTTTTTCCCTTATTTTGTAATCAGGTTTTTGTTATGTTCTATAATTTAAAGAATGAAATTTCTTGACATGATTAAAATTAAAAACATGGTTTGTTCATTTAGAGCACATCTGCAACTGAATATTTCTTAAATTTTATCAAGTTCATTTGAATTTTCTATTGTAAATGAATACAATTTCTGAAATATTAAAGCTAAAACACTTTAAAAATCATTAATTCTATGAATTATTACAAAGCATTCACTTCAGAATCTGTTTTAACATAAAACTAACCATTACTAACTTTATTTGTTTGATTCGGCTGACTTTTTATGCAGATTCTAACAAATTTTTGGTCTTGTCTAGGTAGTTGGTCCACCTTCCATGCTTTCCTGTGTAACTTAACACTGATTACAAATAAATTGTTACACTGAGAAACTTTGTCACCCCTGATGATCAAACCAGCAACCATTAGCGACTGAGACCATACCACGTACCATTTCCAAGTAATTTACTTATACCAGTACTATGCTCTAAGCAGACAGCCAAAAATTTTACTGGTTTCCAGATCAAATTAAAAATATTGAGCAGTCACCAGGATAGAGTCTGGTCTGCAACAATGTCACAATTGTGCAATCATGATAATGCAGCTGCAACAATGTGCAATCATGATAATGCAGCATTGCTTGAGTCTTAAACTGCGGCAAAAAATGAAATCTCACTATTGCTCAGAAGATGAACCAATGTATTGTTTGAAGGCAAAGTGTTTAACATAAGCCACCATTAAAGAGCCAGACTCACTTGTACATCCATGCGATATGACCAAGCTCTAGACTGTTCAGTTGAATGAGTTACTTTTCATATTGATATCTCCGAAAAAATAAAATATTGAACAGTTCTAAAACTGGGAGCTGGACAAGTCCATTTTAAGGAATTGTGTTGGTTAAAGGTTATATCTAATAAATACCAACCTTAAATCTGAAGCGTTGAGATGACAACAATCAAACTTCTGTGTGATTGGTTGTTTAATATGGAATTTATAGAGGTTCTGCACAATGATTTTATTCGTTTGTACAATTTGGAGGTAGTTTTTAAATCTTTGGTGTATTCTCTCAGTCATCTGAAATGTACAGGAAATAATCTGAATAGGATTATCTATACAGTATAATATACAGGAAATAATCTGATTATCTGTAACAGAATAATATACAGGAAATAATCTGAATCTCTGTAACAGTATTATATAAACATATGGGAAATAATCTGAATTTTTATTACAGTATAATATATGGGAAATAATCTGAATCTCTATAACAGTATAATATACAGGAAATAATTTTAAGCTCTATTACAGTATAACATACAGGAAATAATCTGAATCTATTACAGTATAACATACAATGTACAACACAGTTAAGATCTAGGAGGAGTAATTTTCATTCAAATTTACAGAGGATTAATTTAAAATGCTCTGTAAGAAATAGGACCAATTTTCCATTAACTTTATCAAAATGAATCCCTAAAAGTTATTTTAATCTGTTTTAATAAATCTTCATCAAAAATACATGATTTTCTGAGAACTTGTACTTACAATATTGGTTAATTATAGTTTTCTGAACAACCTTTCAAATAAATGACATTAGTATTTAATATTTGAAAAAAAGAAAGAAGATAAATGAGCCGTGTCACGACAAAACCAAGGCTATCAGTGTCTCTACTTGTTAAAGGGTTGGTAAGCGAACAGCATGGATCCTTATCAGACTGTGCGGATGCGCAGGCTGGTCTGGATCCCTGCTGGTCGCAAAACCATGTTGGTTTTGTCGTGACGCGGCTCAAATATGCATGTATGAATACATGGAAACTATTAAAACAACTTACATCCCTGAGAGTATTACGGTAGTCAGCTTGCACATCGGTATATGGCAGTGTGTCATAGATAGCCTGGGGAAAAAAAAAAGCACATAATAATCACAATCATATAATGACAAGAGTTACTTTCTTTAAACACAAAAAAAAAATAAAAAAAATTCCAAAATAATTCAAGAAAAAGGGACAAAAAAAAATCAGGGTTTTCATTAAGAGGCAATTAACATTATGTCTTAACGAAAACAACCAATTTGGCCAAGGGTCAAGGGAGATATTTTAATCTACAGGTTGAAAATATAAACAATTTTAACTGCATTTCAACCGATGATATCCCCAATCTGTTAATAATGAAAACTCTGCACAACATTACTAAACCTCATGTGCTAACATTATACATTTGTATATTTCAATGAAAGATGAAAATACAAAATGTATATTTCATTTCCATGAAATGTCAAAAAGAATTTTTTACTAATAGATCACCTAAAGGTAATCAACTAATTATACAACTAAAGTGACAAGCAGACAGAAAGGGGTATAAAGAAAAGTTCTAGAATCCAGTTCAAATAATTTACTGTGTTTGAGATGACCTTGACCATTAGAGTTAATAACTTAAGTCAGTAAGTATTCAATAAATTTTTTATCATTTAAATAATCATGATTAATTAAAAGTAAGATAGTATTTCTGGTAAATCAACAGTCTGAAACACTGAAAAAAATTGTAAATGCATAGATCTATTCAGAAAGTCTTTAGTTTTAATTGTAATATAATGATTTCTTAGACGTTCACCTAGAAACATTTTTAACGTTACTTTTTGCTCTCTTAAAGTGGCCTTCAGTTTTTATTTTCTGTTTGTAATTTTATCATGGAAAAATGCATCATATTATTAAAGCCTTCTTCAAAACAGAGTCCAAAGAGCTATAATATATCAGTGACGTTTGTTTAGAAAATAGAAGAAAGGGAAATGATTCCTCTGCTTTACTAATTTAAATATAGAGAACTGACCGAATTAGAGGCATCAAGGGGTTTCCTAATTATTGTTTATGTATTTTATTGTCAGCAAATCTCATTTTCCGCCTTAATTCTTTTGATTTGCCAATCATATGAAACAATTTATCTTAAAATAACATATTTAACCTTTAGGAAAACTGAAGGCCACTTTAAAGGTCCTTAAAGACTCAGTTTTATCACTAATGGAGAAAAAGATAATAGAACAAATTGTTACAATATTTTTCTATAAACCATTTTCCTCTTTCATACTTGATATGTAAACTGTTGAAACGTTCAAAAGAAAATGACAAGACTATCTATCATAAACGAAACTTAATATCTACAATATTTTAAAACATGCCTACAAATCAAAAACCTTTTATACTTTTGTAATTTCACCAAAAAAAAAAAAAAAAGACAAATTTTCTGTCTGTCTCACACAAAACAGGTCAACCTACTCAACAAATATTACAAATTCAGCATTAATAACTTCTCATATGACTGTAGAATGCTTTATATGAAATAAGAGTACGCTACTGTGAATTCAGACATTCTTACAACAATACAGGATACTACTTCAAACTGGATCAACAAAGACACCACCTGATATCCAATCTTTCAAAATTATTTTTTGTATTCTCTGATAAGCTAGAGATACTATTCATTATTATAATAGTACGAATACACTTATAAATTTTACGGGCGAATTTTCACCATATCGGGCGAATTTTCACCATATCGGCAATTTTATGTGTCTCTTCGCTTATAAATGTAAAGAAAATGTTAAGACCGCTCTTTTAGAGGTAAATGATTGAATCTACTGACGCATGTATTTTGAAAAGGTAATCAAAGTTAAGTCTTTGTACTCTAAGTCTTAAATAGTTCCTACATACAAAATAAAGGCTTTAATATTAAATCCACAATGGATTTGAGAAAATACTTTATACTAAAATATCTCAAAATAACAACATATATGTAAAAGGCAAAAATAAGTTTTTAGTTTACTATGTAAATTAGAACAGTTTGTTCTTTTTTTCTCAACCCTTTTTTTTTTTAATATATACATATATATATGTGTGTATAAAAGTAAGAAAGTTATCTCAAAATTAGGCCAATACACTACTGAAATTCATGTTGTTGACTTGCCTTGCTAACAGGACTGCATTTTGCAGTGCATCGTGCGCATATTTTCGATCCATTACTGGTTTTACATATTGTTTGTTTGACCTGATAAAACATTACAGAAAGGAAACATGAGCTTCAATCTGCGGTCCCGTTACCGAGTTCCTTTGAAATTTGCAGCTGGCCCTTTTCATTTAACTGCATCAGTACTGCAGTCTGTCCACCATCTTACTGTTGGTATTGCTAATGTTTTTTTTATCTTTATAGATTGTTATCCTTAAGCTTAGAATGGACAGTTCCAAATTTTAAACAAGGCAAATTTATTCATTTCACAAATACTGGGTCTGCAAGTTAAGGATTAATGTTGTTGTTTTTTATCTCCAAATACTTACATTGATACAGGTTTTATTTACCAGTACAACAAATGCAGACCAAGATCAATAGGCACTGTTTACTATTCACTAATTCAGTTAATATATATTTTGCAATTACTCTAAAATAATAAAATATTTTGTCTAAATTGAAAGATGGACAAGTCAATTAAAGATATTTAGCAAGTGACAGGATTATAAAAGAGAAAATTAAACTATGGCTCAACATTTTAAATCTAAATCGTTTTATAAGAAATATTTTATATTTGTTCCCTGACATTTTATTTTTCACACTGAGCATTACTGTTAAGGCTTTCCTAAAAACAGGGATGATCAAAGGCATAGGATTATAACATTCTGCCAAATTACATCTAAATACATATAATGAGACTTTGCTTTTTGAATTTTAGTTATGGTAATAACTTGCCCTTATTATGAAGTAACACAGAGTCTGAGGCCCACAGGTCTACACTAAACTCCAAATGTTCCATTTTCATATTAACATCCCTCAGGAGAACTTATTCAATTAATCTAATTTTCAAGTACCAAATAAATGAAATTAACTCGAAAAAATTCCCCCTTTGTTCAAAAGTTTTCAAAATATGGTTATTTCCAATATGGTATCTCATAATATAAAGTCATGTTCAATAGAATTTGTAGTACCGGTATTATTAAAACAGTACTCATGAATACTTGACTAACATGTAATTGCAAATCCAAAGAATTAATGTCAGAAATGAAATTTGCTGGCAATATAATACACAAACAACCAGGAAACCCCTCAATACCTCTAATCTACTGGTCCACTCTCTATATTTTAATTAGTGAAGCGGACAATTTGTTTCCTGATCTTTTATTTTTAGAAACGACTGTCACTAACTCATTATAAATAGCTCTTGGGATGCTGTTTTGAAGAAGGTTTTAAAGTGATGTGATGCACTTTTCTAAGATCATTAAATTACTGAAATACATAGTTTGAAACATAAAACTGAATTGTTTTTCCAAAAGAAAATAAAAGCTGATTGGAGGCCACTTTAAATGGGCGGTTAAATGTAAAAAATTTGCACAATTTTAAATCTAAGTTCTAACTATGCACTGTACCAACCAAAACTTAAAAAATTGTTTTATTTTGCCATTTTCAAGTGTTCTTTTTTCTCCTATAAAATCAATTGAGCCTTGCCTCTTTTATATTTGAATTCTAGAGGTAAAAAAAATCATAAATTTCCATCATTAAGAAAATTAGTTCCTTACCAGTGTTTCTTCTAAGTAATCTTTTTATCTGGGACACTTGCTGTGCAGTATATTAATGTTATTTTGATTACATGTCTGTAGATTTTTTACAAAGACTAAAGAGAAAATACAACAAAATAGAGGAGAACCAAACATACATACTTAATCCCGAGAAAATTTCATTTACATTTTTTAGTTTCTTTTTTTTTTGGCATGAAGTTATAGAGAGAAAAATATCTAAAAAGAAACTTTAAAATAATTATTTTTACTTGAAAAGATTTTCACATAATAATACAATGTATGATACATGTACTTTCTGTCATATATTAAATATTATATTTTTTACAAAGCCCCTGTTTATCTTAACAATTTATAATAATAATAATCTTTATATTATTCATTGGCTTCACTTTATGTTACAGTGTAAAATTTATTCTAATTTCATTTTTTTTTTAGTTTTCTTTTTAATTAGCCAGTATCATGCAGTTATGGCAATTTTCCACAAAGTAGTGCACATACATGTATATGTGTTTATTTCATTTTAATAAAAATCCTACCATGCTGGAAACCAATGTGATTAACCCTTGTCACATCCATGCAGTATGACCAGGCTCTATACTGGTGATTGAAACTTTAAATTACCTTTTTTTTTCATCTTAATTTATGATAAATCAATTGTTATTTGTTGATATGATTTATGTAGATTTTAGACAATAAAAGTCAGAAAAATATTAGTTATATTATTTTTAAATGCTTTAATGCCATAAAATATAACAGTTGAAGCTCTAGACACCTTGCACATGTAAATTGGGTATTTTCAAGTGCCAGAGGGAGCGCCCTCCTGGACCCTCCGCAATGGCTGAAAATTAAAATTGGCCAGTGGAAACCCTGCATCTGATATTTCCAAAATTTGTAAATTAACGGTTTCAAAAATGGAAGCAGTTTTAAAAATGGAAGTGGTTTCCAAAAATGGAAGAGAGACAAGTCCATTTAAGAGATTCAGCAGGTAACCTAGTTAAAGAATAAATACACCAAGGACCAAAGCAACTTGCTGCTGATCATGAAAAACAAAATGTCAACAGAGGGGAAAATTCATCCCACAAAAAAAAAAATCTACTGCCACCTTGGTAAAATTCTTTGAGACTAATTTCCCTTGAAAATCATTCAGCTGTTTTCCTGCCCCAAGACATTAAGACTGGATACAAAAAAAAAGTTCTGTAAACTTTTCTGTTTATATGAGAAAGTGTAAATATTGTGCAGCATGGCTGATTTCCCTAAAGCTTACATATCGTTTGATACCGTTTGATGTTGGCAATTACAGACTGTTACCAATCTCGAGTTCTAAGGCAAAGAATTATCTCCTGGTTGCTGATTGCCTCACTTTAATATCATTTTTTGTGTGTTTGGCTGGCATGAAATGTGTATCCTCTCAGAAATGCTTTGAGAATATTAGGCTGGTATTTAGTTCTGCTATTTTTATGACAACATTAGTGGCTTAATGAGAACACCAAAACAACAAATAAAGAGAACTGAGAAATAGAGTGAATAAACATGCATTTTACAGCCATGAAATTTGGCTACAATCTAAGAATAGTGAATATACACAGTGTTTTCTTCACATTTTAATAAAATGTTGTCCTTTTTATCTTTGTATATGATTTTAAGATAAAAGTTATTGTAATTTTCAGCGAAAAAGCAAGGCACTAAAAAAAACTTTTCTATTGATACCTTAGTATTAGGGTAAAGTAAGACCTTAGCTGGCTTAGCATGTGTACACTTAAAAAAGGATAAATTCTGCTCTGTTTTGAATGAAAATTGGGGAATTCTTCACAAACATAATTATATTTACTTGTACTTAACACAATATTTAGCTTCAAACATAAGCTTCTTTGTAACTTCTAAATTTCTACAAATTTTATAGTGACAATTGGATCCATTTTGACATTCATATTTATTCTTTTATATAAAATATATGTATATGTGATACATCTAAATGCTTAGCAATCACTTATTAAAGATATTAAATATATAAAGAAATCTACAAGGAAATTGTTCTAAAAGTGTTAAAGTGTGCTTTTTCTCTTCCAGCATTATGTTACGAGAATTTTCAAGTGTCAAGAACATGGGTAACATAATAAAATACAATTTTAAAGCTAGACCTGGGCTTGTGTTTGTACTTTTCTTTTGATTTATACTTATAGATTTTTAAAACTAATGCCACGGAAAGTAATTAAGTTACATTTATAAGGTAATAATTTTTATAAAGTCATCCTTTTTTTAAATACCTACAAGTGTACTTCAGCACCCACATAATTTGCCTGTTGGGTTTAAGTCACATCAACCCTGCAGGACTTCCATGTAAGTGTAAGTTTGGGAGTCATTTACTCCTGACTTCCAAAATATAAACCTTTCATTCTTTTACCTATATAATGTGATTTCCAGTGTCAGACATTTTGCAGTCTCTGAATTCCATTTTTTTAAAAATCAAATGGAAGCCCTGTGCTGTGAAATTCATATGAAAACTTTCCAGCTTTACTGGTGGGTACCCATTACATACATTAATTCAGGCATATAATATGTGGGCACCTAAATAGAACCACTAACCTTCCTTTTAAATTTAACTGCAACTGATGAGCCAAAATATCTAAATAAAAATCAAACTTAAGAAAAATGTACTTTTTGGTTAAACCGAATCATATTCTTTTATCAGTTCACACATTTAGTTCCAATGTTCAGAGTTTGGTTTTATTTCTCAAAAGCTTTTTATTATAGTTTTCAATGTTTCTTTTTTTTTTGCTTATTACTGTGACAATATTTTTTCCTTCTGTTGCTTTCTGCCAATTAGTACAGTTTTAGTGATAACATAGCTTAAGCGCATAAATTTATGATATGCATCATAATATAATTATACATACTGTATGTACATTTGTAACAAAAAAATGCTGTGAGATATATTTTTTTTTATATATAATTTATTAATATCTAGAATTCCATTTAAAGTTAGTGCTTTAATGAAACGAAAACAAAAACACTAAAAATGGATTAACATCTTAAGTACCCTTATTGTTTGATATAACACAATTTGTGAAATATATTTCAGTTAGACTTTCTTTTATCAACTAATTCAAATCTTGCATCTTTAATTCGAAGTACATTATGGCTATCACTGATGACAGACAGTCACAATAACGTTAAGGTCAATCTGTGATGTTAAAACTCAAATAATTTAAAGGAGTGCCAATTAGCATGCATCAATATTAAAATACACATTGGTTTCCCGGGGTTGGGGTTAAGGCCCCCACTGTTACACATTTAAATGGATTTGTTTTGATTTTCAGTGGTAAACGATATTTTTTACTGTTTAATCGAAATGACCATATTGTCTTACAAAATATCTTAATCATTGCCTGTAATCATGGATTTTATCAATTCTTATTGGTTTATTCCAAAGTAAAACTGAAAATGGGTGTTTACAACACTCCACACAGCATCACCTTGCAATAATCGCTTGTGACATAATACATTTTTTGTAAAGTTGATTTGCATTTGATCTTTCAAAGGAACGAAATGGGGATACATTGCGGAAAATGTGTGCCGACACAATCACATTGTTTATTTGTACATGTATCAAAAATAGAAAGTATGTCATCATTTGGCGACTCGAATATATAGTGTAGTATAGTACATACTAATAACATAGACATACCACTGTTTAAACGGTATCGTTTCGGTTCTTAGCATTCATCAGGGTTCTCACTAGGACTTTAAAACATGGAGTCCATGGACTCCCAACCCTAAAAAAGTTGGAGTCCAAAAGCGCGTCGCAATTAATATGTTTACAGATTAGTCATGCAATGTTTACAATAACATTGCTGATATTTTGAATGTTCAAGAGACTTCCAAAGTAAATAGTTATTCAAAAGAAACTCTGAACTACATAGCATAATTATTGTTTTGTTGTTAATATTTATTATGAAATTATTTCATTATAATGCATCAACCAATTGAAATTGTTTTTTTTTTCACTTTAATACCAAATCAAATTTTTCTCTGGTTAAATAAGTCCACTCTTAAGACAAAAAGTTTATATTTGTTAAAAAAAAACGTAAATGTATAGAGGCAGCGTTTAGCGGAATGAATAGGAAAATCGTGTACAGATTCACACAGTGTGTAAGAGATTCATCCGATCGACGATTATTTTAGCAAATATCTTCAAAAGGGGGCAAATTGAAGATCAACATTTAAAGATTTAATGTTGATTAAATAATAAAGAAACAATTCATTCGCATGTTTGGCTTGGTAACCGAGAATTTTTGCGAAATTTTAGGGTTTCTGGCGAACGTGAAATCGCCGATGTTCGGGATCAATTTTCGGATAGAGAAAAGCGTATGTGTACCTGGCATTTAGGCACAATATCTTAAATTCTTAATACTCTTATAGAAAGATTTTGCAAGAATGAAACTAAAGCAAAATTGTGCCTAGAAAATGCCGAAATATTCGACATTCATTATAATGCCGAAAATATTCGACAATCATTCAAAATTACACTCAATTGTAATTTGAGAAAACAGTCTTTAAACTTACGGCGTAAATAGTCGATAATTTTATCCTTTTGTCGGTAAAATTTGCTAATTTCCAATCAACTGTTGATCAAAGATATAAAATTATCACCTCGTCATATATCTGGTTATTACATGTACTGTACTGTACAGCGCGTGTAAACATTAGTCTGATCACTATTGCGTGATAATGATCGGAAGCGTTATCGCTGATTGGCTAATTGCTTCACGGGTCGATGTGCATAGGACCGCCTACCTATAGACTGGCACGCGCTGACGCATTTGTGTATTTCTGGTTGTAAATAATCGGTAATGTTTATGCGTCCCCGGGCAAAATTAAGCGTACGTGGAATCCTTGCTCTGAAATATTTGCGTCCAGCTGCAATAAACATGCGTACCGGGACGCCGAAATAAGCGTCCCCGAGAACCCTGATTCATGTAATTATTTACAAAAAATTGTAAACGTCGGAGCCTTAGTTGGGGTATAATAGGTCAACTTAGCATTATACCAAACAGATCCATACTTGTAATTTGCAAACATAAAAATGACATAATTTTATAAATTTATTGATCAGATGTTAGTATTCACTACCCAAATTAAAAAAATACTTTACCTGCATAGTTGTGACCCCAATCTCTTCATTGCTCACTAATCTCAGATTTGCTGAGAGCTTCTGGGCTTCATTTTGTATACTTATTCCATTAAATGGCTTTACTTTTTCTTGTGTAGTGTCTGTAAAATAACCATCACTTGCAAATAATTTAGTCAAACTTTCACTGTTCCCTAGATCTTTCAGAGTCAAGCCTGATCCTTTCAATTTGTTAGAATCCCAGTCTTTGACACACTTGACAGCTGAACACACATTCAAGAAAACAAAGTACCTCAAAAGCACTGTTGACAAAGGAACAGATCTGCTTTGACCTACTCTTACAGTCGCCATTTTCGTAATTTAGGTCAATTAAGAAGTAAATAAATCCATATTCAAATAATCACGGAGTTCTTCACAGAAGGAAAATGGCACAAAATACAAGCCATGCTATGTTGTTCAATTGCTAGTAATAATGTAACTATCCGTTAACTGTGGGTTGCACAAATTGTATAATTAATTAAACAACGGTCCCGTCCTGTTCCATATCAATACACAATAATCTAGCAAAGCTAGAACAACCACGGTTTCGGATAAAATCTAAAAAAAAAACACGGCGAGCATCTAAAAAGTGAAAATAGGTGGAAACGACGAAAGGATGTCAATTGGTTCCATGGCACGGCTCCTCCATCTAACTTTTTTTATTTCTTGACCAATTTTAATAATTTTGGTAAGAAAACAAAATACATGTATACAGTACCCTAATTCAAACTAATTTCTCTAATCAGGATCGAATAACATGTAGCAAAAAATATTGCAATTTGCTGTGTTTATCCTGCAATAGCCTATTTAAAGACTGGTACTGAGTTCGTACTTTGATAATGGTATCTTTAAGTTGTAGGAATGATTTACAAACACTTCATCCCTCAGACAGTTAACCTCTCATTTTAAGAAATTTGATTGAGACATATTTCACCCCCCCCATTTTTATTTTGTGTTTAACAACTATTGATGTAGAAAATGTTAAATGTATTCAATAGTGATTGAGTATGTTTATTGTTTTAACATATCATTATTATTTTATCATGTAATTGACCAAAGACAATGGATATATATTGTTGTTTTTGCCCTAAAAAAGGCTCATATCACAAAGTTATTTGTAAGTAAATTCTTTATTTCTTATTTTATTTTTGTATATTTTATACTATTATTTTATACTATTTAACACTTTTATTCAATTAAAGTGATATAACTAATTGTAGAATATTCTTTCTATTGAAGTGTGTAAACCTTTGTGTGTGAATTTTCCTTTGATATATATTAAGTATATAATCTCTTTCATACTTCCTTTGTGTCTTTAATTGGCAGTATCTTGTTTAAATGATCTGAAAGCATAACACGAATACAAACTGAACTGGCAACACATAGCATGTGATACCGGTAAGTTTACTTACTTTGTTAGCAACACTTTTTAAGTAAGAAAAATACAAATTGTTCTTTTTTATTTATTACAATAAGTGGAAAAATATTTTCGTTCGTTCGTTCGTTCGTTCGTTCGTTCGTTCGTTCATTCATTCATTCATTTATATTCATTTTATATTCATTTTATATTTATTTATTTATTTATTTTTCAAACAATATTATTTATTTATTTTACATACAATATTATTTGTTTATTCATTCTTTTTTCATTTTCATACAATGATACCTTTTTAATCCAATTATCTAATCAATTATGAGATAACTGTTGAATAAACAACCAATCAACATGTTGAATAAACAAGGTGAAATGCAATAAACACTTAATGGATGAAAGTGATTTGTATAACAATGGACAATACGATGATCATGAATTAAGGACAGAGGGTTTTGGATTAATTTATGGACGTTTATAAGAATGTGTTGTTTTTTTTTAACCAGTAAAATGTTATGTTTTATTGCATGTTATATGTAAATGATTTAAAGAAATTATTACATATGTTATTTGTTTCTGAATTATTTACTAAACAAATATTTACTCTTCGAAATGGCTGTTTATTGTCCTTTAATTAAAAAAAATATCAATCAAATAATTCTAAAAATAATTAAAATAAGCATATGATATAAAAGCATTATGTTGTTGGCTTTTATACTTTATAGAAAAAACTGGATAAGGCGTGAAGTATCTTACTGATTTTTTTATTTTTTGGGGGGGGGGGGGGGGGTTGAAGTGTCTTGAGGGGTGAGTTGTCTTCAAAATATGAGGGGTGTCTTGCTACCGTACGAATAAGTAAACCGACAAACATGGCGGTTGGGCGAGTCCATTTACACATCCTTTGTTGAAGTTTTTGACGTCCATTTGTTACATTTGATTGACCTAAGACAGGTAGAACTGTTCAAATCGTGTTAATTGTGTATATCGCCGTCCAGAAACGGCGATAATTATATTTTTGGCTTTATCTATTGTAGTTTTTTTCTTATAATATTTAAGCCTCTCTTCATAATCATTTTTAAGCAAATCTTTCCCTATTCAGATGCTTTTTTACAGACTAAGATATTCCTCTTCGTCTGGAAATCTAGGCTGATACTATATCAATAGCTTTTTTGTACAATGATTTTGTTAGAGTTATGGCACTTAGATAATTTTTATGTTTTAGGTTTGCCCGGGCAACTCCTCTAATACCACTAACGCAATTTCAGTAAAACTTTACAAGATTGATTGGTACCTCAAGTCCTTGCGCATATTACACGGGTTTTCCGCTTGAATGATTTTTTGCAGAGTTATTTGCCATTCTTTTAAATGGTTTTGTGTGTGTGTCTGAGTGTGGTGCCAGCTACACAGAAGCTTGTTTCGACTAAACCTCAGAAACAACTGGTGCATTTATATCAAAACTTTACAGGTATGATCAATATCATGTCTAGTTGTGCATCTCATCAACATTTTTATTCAATGATTTTTGTCAGAGTTATGGCCTTTTAATAATTTTGATTTTTAAAATTTGACCGGACTACTCCTCTTATAGCACTAATGTTATTTCAATGACACTTAAGAGTATTGATTGCTAGCTAATTTTTTGCACATTTTAGATGTTTGATGATTTTTGATAGTTATGGCCCTTGCATAAAAACTGTTTTGGCCTGTTAATGATTTTTGTGTTGCCAGCTACACAGAAGCTGATATATAATACAATTACAAAGTAGCCAAGTGATTTTGTCTGTCTGTCTGACTGTTTGTCACAAAACTTGTCCGGACTACTCCTCAGAAACTACTGGTGCAATTCCATCCAAACTTTACAGGAATGATCAATACCAGGTCTAGTTGTGCTATTGTCGGCATTTTCTGGTTCAATGATTTTTGTCAGAGTTATGACTCTCTAATATGTTTTTTTATAATTTTTAAAGTTTATCTTTCGGACAATACCTCTTATACTACAAATGAATTTCAATGAAACTATACAGGATTGATTGGTAACTCAAGTACTTTCGCAAGTTTTCCAGTTTAATGATTTTGGATGAGTTATTACCCTTGAATGAAATCATCAGGCAACTCGTGTGGTCACTGACTGCTCTTGTTTTTTTTAAAGCTACAGCTATAAATTTTGGACTTCATGCTATAGATGCAAAATTGAACTTTGACATTAATTGACCTAGATTTTGAACAAGTGACCTTTTCTATGAAAACAGATCTAAAAAGTGAAATTTGGACTGTAAGTGCAGAATTTAACTTTGACCTAGATTTTAATTTTGACAAAGTGACCTACTTTATGTAATCAGAGATAAAGCTATGATGAAAAGTTTCAGACGCAGAATTGAAATTTGACCTAGATTTTGTACCACTGACCTATATTTTTTGTAATGAGAGCTACAACATTAAAAACTGAGCAACCGGCACAGATTCAGGTGCAGTTTTGAACTTTGATATTAGTTGACCTAGAAATTGACCCGGTTACGTACTTTTGTTTGTAGCTCTAGTTTCGTGTTTTAAATTTCTGCTACATGCAATTAAAGTTGTGATATTTGAAAATAGTGATAAATCCTAGACATTATATTTGTAAATGTAAATTAAACATGTTCTGAGTACACACATAGTACACAAAGTCTACATACGTCATGTTTTAACTCTACACACTAAAGGTAAATACAGTATGAATACATTGTGTCGTTAAAAAATCGGCGGTTTTTTAAAGAAATGACTAAATTTATTTGACCTATAATATGGAATGCAGCTATCAATACACATTTTGTGTGTTCTTTTATTCAAATAAGACATATTTAGTATGAATTTCCTAGATTTCAATGAATTTCTGCAACAAAAATATTTTACTCAAAGATGAGCCTAGTACATCTTTAAGTTAAAAAATACAGAGGATATTTATAGAAATTTGCTATGTTGATATTTTCCTCACCATAAATCGAATTGCAATATAAGCAATGACCGAAATGAAGGTTTAATGGATGTACGAGTGTATTTGGGTTGGTAGTCAGACTATTCTCTCCCTTTCCAGTTCCTCCCCTGACGTTTCCTCCCTGACGGTTCTCTCCCTATTTTGGGGGAGAACCGTCTGCATATTTGCAAATAAGCAGACAGTTCCTCCCCATTTTTATTTTTATTATTATTAAAGTATTAAGATGATAAATAAATGGGTAAGTTTATTATTAATTGATATAAATTAGAAAAAAAGAAGATTTTACTGAAGTGTTTAGATGTTAAATAAATTTGTAAGTGTAATATAAATTGATATAAATTAGAGAGAAAAATACTTTTATGAAGTATTTAGGTGTTTAATTCAAGTTACAATTTTGTTAGAATCATCAGCAACAATAAATGGGTAAGTTAATTATAAATTTATATAAATTAGAGAAAAAATATTTTACTGAAGTATTTAGATGTTCAATAAATTGGTAACTTTATTATCAATTGATATAAATTAAATTAGAAAAACTTTTTTAGCATATTAGTTAATTATTCTGATTTTTTTTAATTAGATGTAATGTATACTTTTTAATGTGTTTAGTCATTGAAAATAATTAATGAATAATTTACTTGATTAGGATAATCATAAGATATTATTATTTCTTTTTTTTCTTTTAATAAATAAATGTGAAATTTATAAGCAAAAAAAAAAGATTAATGAATTTTAATTGCTAAATTTCATACTTTTGTATAATGAAAAAAGGAGTTCAATACACACATGCCTCAAGTTTGCTGTCAGTGATAATTGAGGTGTTTATTAATTCATTACTCAAGAATCAATTAAGGTGTTGATTAGATTAAAATAGCTGTGAAAAGGTGTTGATGAATAAGTATTGACAAGCTAGACCTTAACATAATTACATGTGTCCAATCACTGTCCAATAATCTATAACTCTCACAATGAAGGTGTTGATAGGATTAAAATACCCCAAAAAGGTTTTAAATTTGCAAACACTTTTTCAGCTGATAAACATAAAACATAAAATGCAGTTAATATCAACCACATTCTTTTAAAAATCTTCATTAAGAAATATTATTAGATTAAGTCAAAACTAAAATGATAACTTAAAGAAAAATGGGGGAGAACTGTCTGCATATTTCAAATTTGGGAGAGAACCGTCAGGGGAGGAAACGGTTAGGGAGAGAACCGTCAGAGAGAGGAACTGGAAAGGGAGAGAATAGTCTGTCATTCTTTGGGTTGACGTTGGCTACAGTAGAGTACAAAATTATTTGCGGTACCTGCATCATTCACGGTATATTATGAGTAACGATCCATTTTTCATTCAAGTAACAACAAATATTTAGTTAGAACATAATCTACAAAGTTTATTTGACAGTTTTATACGCGAATCAATCGAATGCCATAATGGTTGTGCGGTTGCTCAACGTGATATTAATTCGAATATGCGCTTTTTCGATTTACAATGATAACAACAACAACAACAACAAATTTGTGTTTATTATTTTTCTGTAGGAAGAAATCTTTCATTTTAAATTCAGCTTTCAAGGTAAGATCTTATAATCATTAAGTTGTTTTGAAAGATGAAAATACTGTGTTTATTTGTATTTAAAATAATTTTAATACCCAAACTGATCAAGAAACAGGCAAAGATTCGAAAAAAATTCTTTTTCCGAAATTTTCACTGTTTTACCAGTTCACTCTTTATCAGTTTTAGGTGTTTTCGGCTTTATCTTTGTATCTCCAATTGAGTCAAAGCCTTTCTGGAAACCTAGACTTTGATGCTTTCCGAATGCATACATGTGTAAGAGAACATTCGTCTTGTTATTACTGAAAACGAATGACAGGCTCCAGACGCTACGTCAGCCGGTACAGTTGAGTCATTCCGTACTCATCTGTCCCAACTCTATATCTAAACCACACTCTTGTCCGTTTTTAACCTGCACTGTATATATTCCTCACTATTTTTTACTCTTTCTTTCCGTCTTGCGCATTAACCTGGCAGTAAACTTCAGTTAGTTGAAGGTGGCCAGTATATATTGGAAGAAGAAGAAGAAGAAGAAGGCTATGCAGGTAGTTTAGGTGGTAAAAGTTATTTTCACTTAAAGTAAATAAGCAATTTATAAACTGGTATGCAAACATGTTTACTTTTTTATACAAAATTGATTAAGAAAATATAAACATAAAATAATATATACAGTGAAAACGCTCAATTACGACCACCATTTGGACTGGTCCAAAGTGGTCTTAATTTTGGAGTGGTCTTAAGTAGGGATTCTACTGTAACCCCAAAATAAAGAGAAGAAACTTACTGGAGATAACTTTAAAATTGCATTATTCACAAGAAAGTTATTTCGAATCTGTTATTTTATTTTCATTGCTAATTAGGAGTACTCTGAAATTGATGATATAATGTCTTCCTACCTTAATATTATGTGTCAAGTCGGTATGACTAAATACCAAATATGAATTCATATTCGCGAATATGAACGGGAGTACCGAATATGAATATTATTTTCTTAAAATCAGCTGTTATGGGATTACTTACGTCAACAGAGACTATTACTTGTATCATATGTATTTTAATGAAAGAAAATAAATTCTGATCTTTTGGTTGTAAATTAATTACTGTGACCAAAAAGTTACCCGAATATGAACGAGAATGACGAACATGAAACTTACTATTTATTAAAATTAAATAGTATTTAAACAGTATATAAAATAGCTCACAAAGGTATAGAAATAGGTATTTCAAACTATAACTTGAAATGAAACCTTGTTTAAACATAGATGACAGTTTAAATTTGCTAAGTAATATAGTTATTGTGACTCGCTATACAGTACTGTACTGTAAAGATTTAATTCATATTCGTGACAGAATAAGAACGAGGATATCGAATATGAATATTAAATAGATATAAATGAACTTGGTCTGAAATAGTTTTGTAAACAAAAACTAATATTATATACTTGCATCATGTCATTGAATGAAATTAAATGAATTTAATGCATTGGTTGCAAATTATTGTGACCAGAAAGATACCAGAATGACAAGAATACCAAATATGAACATTAATTTGATACTGTATACATGCATATAAAAACAACGCTTATAAAATATACTAATTATGCTTTAATTTTTCAAGTAACAAATATTCACTATGGTATAATATTTGACCCTATGCCAAAATTTTATGAAAGTAATATTCATATTCGGTATTCTCTTTATATTCGCGAATATGAATTCATATTCGGTATTTAGTCATACCCTGTCAAGTTGTTGATTGGCTGGTAAGGTGTTGTATACAATATATTACCTTTTTTGCAACTTACAACTTACTTTTGGTAGGAACATATATTTAATGGTCCCGACCTGTACTTTTAGTAGTCTTAGGCATCAGTTTGCACAGGTCACCAGTGCTAAAAATCGATGTTTATGCTTTTGCTCATGAAGCCTTTATTTTTTAACTGCATGATATCTTTAATTTTTGGTGGTAGAAACTATGGCTGTCATTGATGGTAAATTATTTTTGATAAACAATTATTCTTGAGCAAACTCAATAGGTAAAACCCTTTTGCCAAATTTGAAATAAAGTCTGAAAATGCTAATTTATGGATACTAAATGAAGTTGCAGTTATTGAGTGACTACTGTAACTATAAAGGTAAGGTTACAAAGGGCAGGGGTCAACATGACCTAATGGAAGAGAGTGCTTGAACTTTCAATTTTCATAGATTTGCTTAAGTAACTTTGGTTAAATTTTTATATCTGATGAACTGAATAGTTGAATATTAGATTTAGGACATTTATACATTTAGATAACATATAATGTATAGTATGACATATCTAAACTTATAACATACACTGCAGGAAGATCACATAAGAAGTCAAGATGGATCCAGCCCTTTTGAAAGAGAGAGCAAAGTTTATGAATAGAGCTCTTGCTCAGCCAACGGTTGAGAAGAGAAAATCAAAATCTAGTCATGATAGTGATAAGGCAAAGAAAGCCAAAGTCTCCTCGTCGAGACCAAAGGAACCAAAATCAAGCAGTGCTGCATTTGATTATAAAACAGCTTCAGGTAGTTCTCAGATGAAGTTTGGAATTCTGGCTAAAGTTGTGAATTTTATGAAGAAAAGACATCAGGATAATGACACTTACCCTCTTAGTATTGATGAGATTTTGGACGAGACAAATCAGTTAGACGTAGGAAATAAAAACAAACATTGGTTAATTACTGAGGCTTTGCCAAAGAATCCAAAGATTCTGGTAAGTTAAAGGGTTTTTTTAGGTGATAAAATATCTAAGAAATAAATTAAAGAAAAAACAGCGCTTGGGGAAAGATTTTTTACAAATAGGGGGTTTTTTACATGTAGGCTTCAAAGGGAGATTTTTAAAACTTTATAAAAAAGCAAATGAATATTTTTAATTTTTTTTTTTAAAAAAAAAGTGGGTTCATGGGGTGAAACTTGGGGGAAAAAGTCCAAAAAAACTTAAATGACATAATTTTAAGAACCATACAGCAATACTGATAGGGACACCTTTTAAGAGCTAAAAATATTTTTTTGAATAGTAATTTATTAATTGTAATGTTTATGGTTATATCATTCAATATGATTGTACTGTATTTATTGAACTAGTTTCCTTTAAGACGGGAATCCCTTAAAAACAGATTCTTTTTTCATTCGAGTTGATATGTAGAGGATATTTGTTAGTTTTGCATGTAAGATTAGAATTATTTCACAGAGCAAACACTAGGTGTAATATGTGGCATTGCCAGAAGTGAAGATAAAATAGCTGATTTAGTGAAATACAAATTGATTTAACATGTAAAAGAAACAAATTTTCTATTTATTTTAGTCTTTTTAATTAGTCCCCTACTGGTTTACCGGAGGGGACTTTAGGTTTACCCTCCCCGTCTGTCTGTCAGTCCGTCCACAAAACTGGATTCCGCGATAACTTGAAAAGTACTGAGAATACTTTTATGAAACTTGATATATGGAGACAGGATAGATGGCAGTATGGAGATTATGCACCTCTTTTTCTTTTCTTTCTATGTTGAAAATTCTGGTTGCTATGGCAACAATAGACTGAAAATATGGCAAATTTTACACATAAACTGAATCCAGTGATAACTCAAAAAGTACTGGAAATATTTTTATGAAACTTGACATATGGGTAGATGGCAGTCTGGAGATTATGCATGTCTTATCTGTTCTTCCTATTTTGAAAAAATATTGGTTGCCTTGGCAACAAATAGGCTTAAAACATGGCAAATATAACAATATTTGTGATTAGTCAAAAAGAGCTTGAAAATTTTTATGAAATTGCATCTTTAATTCAAGATTTTTCCCCTCTTTAAGAATTTGTTTTTAAAAAATTTTTATTTTTGGTAACAGGGATTTTTTCAAATTTTTAACTTTAAAGGGGTTGGTCCTTCAGTCTGTTTTGTCTGTCTGTTCATAAAAACTTTTTCCTTGGGGATCATTTTTAAAGGGAATTTTCCAAAAAATTTACTTAAAATAGAAAAAATTGGAAACTTTTGGGTGAAGGGCCCAAGGGCCCCTTTTCCAGAATGTTGATGGGGTTTAACCGGTAGGGGACTTTGGTTTTGTTTTGAAATACTATGATAATTCCCTTGTTTATTTAAATGGGTTTTTGCGGAAAACATTTGTGCTCTGTCCTTCATAAAACTAAGGGGTATGACTTTAAACCAAGGGGGTTCTTTTTGGGAATTTTTTTTGGGGTAGTTTTTTCTTGAATTTTGTTACAATTTAACATGATGTCCACAGATATTTATTTGTGTCTCGTAATGTTATGTAATTTACAAGTAACAGAGTGTTTTTGTGTTAATATTTTCATTCATTTAGGATTTAACTTTTTTCTAGCATTCAAAATATAGTGTGGCAACAGTGAAATAATGTTTTGATAATTTCACTGTGAAATATATCTCTGACAAACTCCATTGAAAAGTATGTTATAATAAATAGTTAATTTATTTACTATTCCATTCTTACTCTGCAGAATGTCCAGGAAGATGGAGAAACAAAGTATAAATATAAGCCCACATATGAACTCAAAGATCGGAAAGCATTTCTCAATTTACTCAAGAAGTGTGACTTACATGGTGATGGAGGCTTATTACTGGACGATATAGAAGAAAGTTTACCCCATTGTCAACAGGCTTTGAAAAAATTAGGTATATAATTATGTATATTGTAAAATATGTATATGCTTGTGACGATAATTGCTGCCTGGCCTATCAGTATACTGCTATTCCTTGTAGTCCGACCAGACATTTAATATACTGGCTGCTGCTAAATTGTAGGGCCTTTACAGTAAAAACAGCTGTAAAAAGTTGCCCCATACTTCACTTCAGTGTTGTTATATTTTTCTGGTCCTTCGAGATCATTGAAACAAGCACTAGTAAGTGTTGAGAATTGAGTACTGCTCAAGCCGGTGCTACGGGGGCTTGAGGGGTGTTGCACTTACTCATTATCCCTCATGTACAGACTCAATCAAACCAAGTCTGCAATTTTTTATGAAATTTTGTTGTCATTAAATGATTAATGCTTCCGAGGGATCACTTTGTTTCAAGTTCTTTATTTCAAATTCCTTACAGTAATAATGAACAGTTGCAAATTCATAGGACAAGTGTATTTTACTACTTAAACATGATTAGGGTTGATAAAGTCAAAGGTTTTATATTTCTATAACTAACTCAGCATTATCTTATATCTGCTACAGTGTAGCTTTGGAAACTTCATTTGCATAATTATCCTGAAATTTTGTCCATTTCAGTGTATTTTGGTGTCTGACAGGGATCTCTCTTATTCATTTAGAATGCACAGACTGAGAGATGTCAAATAAATTTATAAAAGATTTTCTTTCTTACCTTATAGCATTTTTGTTTGAACATTTTGGGAACAAAATTAGAATATCTAGGAATTTTTTGATCCCTTAACAAGAAGTGGTTGAAGGAAAAAAGGAGCCTGGGTAATTTCCTGTAATATAAAAACACATGTTATGATGTATGTTGAGTATAACAAATGACACACATTTCTTAAATTGAATGAATTTTGCTGTCACGAATACATGTACTTCCCACCTTACTTTTTAATCCCATGACATTTTAATTGCAAACAAAAGTAGTACTGTTGATAAACATGTACTAAAATATATTTACATTTTCTTCATGTAATAAACAATATTTACATTTTCTTTGAAGGTGACAGTATATTGTACATAACACGTCCACATGACAAGAAGAAGATCCTATTCTACAATGACAAGTACTGCCAGTTCAACATTGATGAAGAGTTTACAAAGTTATGGAGAGGTAAGATTGATATCTTGTTTTTTTTTACAATCTTCTATGTAAAATCCATTAATACAGTGCAATTACAGCAGAGCAACACCCTTGGGCAGAGAAAGATTTCAATCGTTGCTAAGAAGTGTAGCTGTACATGTATCTCGAAAGGTTAAATTTATTGCTTTTCACACCTTGAGAATAAAATGATACTGTTTTTGTTACAAAGTTATTGCTCTGAAGATGGCTACTGTGTTGAGGTTATACTGTAAATATGTATACACCTGAAATGCCTGTCCAATAAACAATTGAAAGCATTAAATAGAACTCTTACCTGCTTGAACCAAAAGTGATTTAGCCTTTGCCACCAGTATAGAGCCTGGCCAGTCTGCACTTCTGTGAAATTACCAAACATTTTGGAGAGAAATTTAGCTGATAACTGGTTAGCTATAATTAAACCCTTGAATATGATTCTAATAAAGTTGGTTTATCTTGAAGCCCAAATTAAAATAGAATGCCAAGAGAGTCACTGGTAATTTGATGTATAATGTATAATCTGTTCATGTTTTTCAGGTGTTTCTGTAGAAGGTCAGGATGAAAGAAAAATTGAAGATTATTTAGAAAAACAGGGCATTACATCTATGCAGGTAAGTGGCTACATACATGTAGTATTCTGTTGGTAATATGATAATTCTTGTTGAAAGGTCCAAATAAGGGGAGCGGTGACCCAGTGGTTAAGGTGTCTGCCTCTCAACCCAGGGATTTGGGCTAGAGTCCTTCTGTGGTCATGACTATGTTGCTTGATATGATTACAATACTAGTTAGTGCCAGAAAGTGGATTTGAGAATGGTTTAGATACGCTTCATTAATCAAGCTTTCTTCACAGTTTAGCTAAAATATGTAGGTTGAAAATAAAACAAAGATACTCTTAAACTTCGTTTGCTCAAACTCGGAGGGCCTGTGCAAATTTGTTCGAGAGATTGGTAGTTTGAGCCAAAAGGTTGAACTATTATCATGTATTATATTTTATGTAGGACATATGCCAGCTAACATCGGTGGAATGATAAATATGCCAACATAATTGTTTGTTCGTACATCATTTCGTTACTATGCCTCATATCTTCTCAATATTAAGAAATAATGTCGAAAAAATACATTCCAGTGTATTCAAGTGAGAATAAACAGTACACTTTGTAAATCTATATATATTCATGCATATTGTGATTGGTAACGTTATAGGGGGCAATCATTTTCCAAACTTTTTGAACAATGTTCAAAATATATTTATATAAAAATGTATAAAAGAATTCCATTAATTTCCCAGAGCAGGTGCTAACCATCAATGTTTTATTGAAACGAGTCATGGTCTGTAACAAAATAGTTTAGTTTAATCATATTTTATTGCTTTTACATTTTATACAAAAACAGATACATTGTCACATGTATACTACAAAACAGTAACAAATAAATTTACAGTTTTTACATGGATGTTATAGTTATTATTAAAAAAGCAAAAGGGTCGGGCCAAAAGTTTTAACAACATTAGAGAATTGGCCCTTCCAACAAAATATAGAAAGCAGCAAAAATAACTTATACATGTAATTGAAATAAAAGTTTTGAAACACTTACTAAAGTAAGCCCTACAATTCTGCTCCAATACTAAGTGCTACTAGGTTTTAAGAAGTTAAGTGTCAGATAAGATATGACTCACATGAGTTTGAGTGTTGGAAATATTATTTTCTAAATTTCCATTTACAGCTTATTTTCATTACTTTCAATCATTTTTAGCTCACATGTCACAAAGTGACAGGGTGAGCTTTTGTGATCGCTTTTCGTCCGTCTTCCGTCCGTAAACTTTTACTTTAAATGACATCTCCTCATAAACCACTAAGCAAATTTCATCCAAACTTCACAGGAATGTTCCTTTGGTGGTCACCTTTAAAAATTGTTCAAAGAATTTAATTCCATGCAGAACTCTGGTTGCCATGGCAACCGAAAGAAAAAACTTTAAATATCTTCTTTTACAAAACCCTAAGAGCTAGAGCTTAGATATTTTGCATGAAACATCTTCTAGTGAGTGTCTACCAAGTTTGTTCAAATAAAATCCCTGGGGTCAAAATTGGCCCCGTCCCAGGGGGTCATTGATTTTCCCTATATGCATATAGTAAAAAACTTAAAAAAATTCTTCTTTTAAAGAACCCAAAGAGCTAGAGCTAAGATATTCAGCATGAAACATCTTCTAATGAGTGTGTACCAAGATTGTTCAAATAAAAGCCCTGGGGTAAAAATTGCCCCGCCCCAGGGGTCATTGATTTTCCCTATATGCATATAGTTAAAAACTTACAAAATCTTCTTTGAAAGAACTCAAAGAGCTAGAGCTAAGATATTCAGCATGAAAACATTTTCTAATGGGTGTCTACAAAGTTTGTTCAAATAAAAAGCCCTGGGGTCAAAATTGGCCCCGCCCCGGGGGTCATTGATTTTCCTTATATATGTGTTATAGCAAAAACTTTAAATAATCTTCTTTGAAAAAACCCAAATAGCTAGAGTTTAGATATTAAGCATGAAACATCTTCTAGTGAGTGTCTACAAAGTTTGTTCAAATAAAAGCCCTGGGGTCAAAATTGGCCCCGCCCCGGGGGGTCTTGATTTTCCCTATATGCATATAGTAAAAACTTAAAAAATCTTCTTTGAAAAAACCTAAATAGCTAGTGTTTAGATATTTGGCATGAAACATCTTCTAGTGAGTGTCTACCAAGTTTGTTCAAATAAAGTCCCTGGGGTCAAAATTGGCCCCGCCCCAGGGGGTCATTGATTTTCCCTATATGCATATAGTAAAAACTTAAAAATTCTTTTTTTAAAGAACCCAAAGAGCTAGAGCTAAGATATTCAGCATGAAACATCTTCTGATGGTTGTCTACAAAGTTTGTTCAAATAAAAGCCCTGGGGTCAAAATTGGCCCCGCCCCGGGGGGTCTTGATTTTCCCTATATGCATATAGTAAAAACTTAAAAAATCTTCTTTGAAAAAACCTAAATAGCTAGAGTTTAGATATTAAGCATGAAACATCTTCTAGTAAACGTCTACAAAGTTTGTTCAAATAAAAGCCCTGGGGTCAAAACTGGCCCCGCCCCAGGGGTGTCATTGTTTTTAACTATATGTGTGTAGTAAAAACTTAAAAATCTTCTTTTAAAAAACCCAATGAGCTAGAGCTTAGATGTTTAGCATGAAATATCTTCTTATGGATGTCTACCAAGTTTGTTCAAATAAAAGCCCTTGGGTGAAAATTGGCCCTGGGGGGGGGGGAAGGGGGCGGATGAGATCATTGTTTTTCATTACATGTGTGTAGTAAAAACTGAACATTGTGAAACATCTTCTAATGAGTGTCTTCCAAGTTTGTTCAAATAAAAGCTCTGGGGTTTAAACTGGCCCCGCTCCGGGGGCCTATATACAGGTGAGCGACCTCAGGGCCATCATGGCCATCTTGTTTTCTTGTGTCTGAGGGTTCGAAGATTTTCTGTAATAACCACCACTTAAATGCATAATTTATGTACTAAATGTCTGTTTTGTTGATGCAACAGTACATTTGTTAAAAGCTAAAAAAAACATGTACATAATACATATATATTATTAGTTATAAAGATATTTGACATGCTACATGGCCCAGTATAAATGGATGTTAGCTTACTGTTATATAACATCTGTTAAGCAACTGTATATTAATCTAAATTACATAAATGCCCTTATCTAATGAAAATGTTGTTTATGTTTACAGGATGTGGGACTTAAAACAGTGACACCAGCTCAAAAGAGGAAGAAGAAAGGTGGTAAAAGATCGTTTAAGAAACATAACGAGCATTTAGAGGGAGTTTTACAGGACTATGGTGAATTTAAAGCCAGCAAATTTACTTCCTGATCATGTATCTAGTGTATAATCAGAGTTGATACCTAACCTTCGGAAGGACCTTTTTTCCCCAACAATTTGAAAGGATATTTTGAATGTTTGCACTATGTTTATGCACATTGGGAATTGTATGATGCAGTCATTTTTTGGTCTGTAGCAGTCAAACTGCAGTTGTGGTTCATTTTTTGATATGATACATTATTACGTCTGCTGGCAGCAACTTAATGTACTCATGCAAACAGTGCTGATCAAGATCAGCTGGTACTGTCATGCCATCAGATCATGGTCTGCACTGTTTGCTATACAGTCACTACAAATTTTCCCTAAAAATGATAAATGGTTTTGTCCGATTGAAAGATGGACAAAGTTGATTTAAACTATTTTAGGGAGGTAAGGTTCAAAGAGAGGCGTTAATGAAGAAAGATACCTTGTAGATGCATACGAGTGCTGCTGTATTTGTAATACATGCATTATAAGCACAAAGTAAGATTAACTTAGACAGTGATAAGTTTTTGCATAGGACAGAGACCAAACTATAGGCACTTTTCTGATTAACAAAACAATTGGGAGAAAAAAACTATTTCATACCAGTTTTAAGGTATATACATATTTCTTTTTAATTTAATACATAATGTATTATCATCTGACAGAAAGGGAATGTCTTAAAGTTTTGTTACTTTTCTCAATGTTTTCCCAATTTAGTTGTTAAAAGGCATTAATTGTTACAAAAAATGCTTTTAAAATCATTTTGAGGTATAAATGCAAATGAAAAGAATAAATTCCAAAAGTTAATTTTGAAAGTGTATTTACATTTCTTTTACAGTTAATTAGTTCTAAGTAAACCAATTTACAACTTTGATTTTTTTATCATTTCTGGTTTGAACAGCTACAACTTTATTTATTGGTAAGGATGATTATCCTCTTCATCAGAGGCATGACTGAAATGTCACTGCGAGTGAATGTGTACTGGAAGAAATTGTGTTATGATATATGAATAGAAGATTGGTTTTCAACTTTTAGACATATTTGAAATGTATCTAGACAAATAAAAGAATACTTTGTTGTAAAGTAAATAATTTTAAGATTTGATGACAGAATCAGAATTATGAAAATGTAGGTTATTTTTTGTTTTTCTTTTTTACATCATTTAAACTTTATGTCAATGATTATCAATATGCTGTATGTTTATCAAAACAATTGCCATTGAGAATGTTATTTGTTGTATGACAAATTGTTTTACATATTAGTAATAAAAGAATGGGAAAAGCACTTGTTGTAGTGAATTACTGTAGAAATTATAGCGCTGTGATCCCACAGTTTCTGCCTTTGCCAACACTCAGTTTTTCATAGTACCACAAATGTAGCATCTGTGTCAATCATTAATGAATTAAAAAAAAAATCGACTTCAGTAGCTTGACAATTACTTCATTTATGGAGTGTGGGTGTTTTTGTCAAAGACTGGATCTAATGAGATAAGGCTCTTTAAGTGTAGTTGAGACAGAAAACATTATGAAGATATTTTTTCTGCAAAAAAAAGAAAGAAGGAATGTGGGTTTACATTGGAACTGTTGGTAGCAGACATGTGCCAGATAAAGTCCGTAGGCAAGACTTGCCAAACATTGTTAGTGAAAGACTATTAAAGCCTCCAGATTCATGCTGATTTTCTTGAAAAAATTTAAAATGTACTTAAAATTAAAATGTAAATTATTTCTTGAATCTTTTTGATTTTCTTAAAATCTTAGTACATTTTCTCAAGTTTGATTTTCTTGTAATATTTTGGCTCATCTGGACGCATGCAGCTTTTTAACAGCCAAGATTTTTTTGTAATCATTATTTTCATATTATAAAATTAAATTATCCTTTACGTGATCTACTGCAAATTTAGCTTTTTTCTCGCATCCGATAGGCATGATTTTCACGTGCGCCAATTGTAAACAAGTTGCACCACAGTCTACTGATATATTACCGATTGAAAGTAACAGAATTTAGCCGGGTTAACCGGAGCGTCAACACGGCCATTATCGAGGCTTTGAACACGAAACGAAATTCTACAATTATGTGAAAAACGTGAAATCTGCACATTAAATATCCTTGAAATGGTTGGAACGTGTCACAAATTTGTATTAGCATCACTGCTGGCGGTGTTAGTGAGATGGGGAGTAGCTCAATTCGGTTATTCAGGTAAAGAAACACCGGTGTTGGTGTCATATTATTCGGATAGTACTATAATTACGGATATTCTCAGTTACTAGAATGAATAATTTGATAAAACATGAGATATCTAATAAATTTAGAATAATTTTATTACAGTGTTGCATCTAGAAGGGGACACAGGTGCTCGTCCAGTCTTGGTGCCCATATGATATATAAAAAAATGAAGTTTAAAAAAAAAAATGAAAAAAAAAATTGAAAAAAAAAAAAAAAAAAAAAAAAACCCAAAAAAACATCAAAATTAATATTTTGCGTTGAGTGTAAGAAAAAAAAAATTGAAAATTTTTTTTTTTTTTCCCTATATACCATTACTACAAAAAGGTCACCTAGTCGCCGTAACGCTACGGATCTTTACTAGGACACACTGTGGAACAACCACAATGTCGAGTTCTGTAACAATAAAAGCTATTTTGCTACTCTTTACACATTGGGCATTTAGAAAAGTGTTAACATTCTTATTGTACCTTACATACAATCTTAAATAACTTACATTTAAACTTGGACACTCCAATTGGTTAAAATTTTGCAAAACAACAGTGGTTGTCGGCCATTTTGTCGAAATCGAAAGTACAAAACATACACCGTACTGTTTCGCTGTTCTGGTCCCCTACGACTACGTTCGCTGAACAATAGACAACAGTAACCAATAAATTGATGGTTACCGTTGTCTACTGTTCCTCGCACGTAGTCGTAGGAAACCAGGAGAGCGAAACAGTACGATGTATGTATTGTACTTTCGTTTTTGACAAAATGGCTGACCATCAACGGAATTTTGAAAGATTTTAACAAATTGGAGTGTCCGAGTTAAAATGTAAGTTATTTAAGATTGTATGTAAGGTAGATGAAGAATGTAAACAATTTTCTAAATGCATGATGTGTAAAGAGTAGCAAAATAGCTTGTATTGTTACAGAACTCGACATTGTGGTTGTTCCACAGCGTGTCCTAGTAAAGCTCCATAGCGTTACGGCGACTAGGTGACCTTTTCGTAGTAATGGTATATAGGAAAAAAATAATTTTTTTTAATTTTTTTTTTCTTACACTCAACCCAAAATAGTTATTTTGATGTTGTTTTTTTTTTCCAAAATTTTTTTTTTTTTAAAACTTCATTTTTTTTATATGGGCACCAAGACTGGACGAGCACCTGTGGAAGGGGATTGTCCCCCACTCAACTGAAAAATGTGGGGGATTTGATAAAAATGTGGGGGACATACATTTACCTAACAATATGAAGTACCGATTTAATTTTACGTTCAGGCGTTTTTGACAGCTATTGTCCGCTGAACAATGGAAATAGAAAAAATAAAATATTGACAAATACTACAAAACACATGCGAGATGACCCAGTCTGCTGCTACATGCAATTTAGTACATATTTTAGTCATAACCGCGAGTGAGAAGCATTCAAGATACGATGAAGATAAACTGAATCAAGTTGAAAAGATCATCAGATGCGCGACTTGATTGACTTTATTAAAATGCACGATGTGCATAAAATATGAGCAAATCGCACAATCTCGCGGCCTAGATGCAATACAGTTATTATCTCATAACTAGAAGCTAATTCCAAAAATAATGTACCAAAATATCTATTGATATATGTATGACACATAAGTAAATTAAACTTATTATTATCTAATAATGGATTAATGTAAGAACTAACATTATAGAACATAATCCAAGATAAACTATAAAATTTAATGTCCACTATGTCAATTTAACAAAAATGGCTAACATTAATCAGATTCCGCTATAATTTTGATAGGAAATATAAACAAAATTACCCTAAGGTGGCGCGATACCTCAATTGGTTAGACCATTGGCTGTCACTCCTAAAGTCCGGGGTTTGATCCTGGGTAACACCCTTGGGATTTTTCAGAGACACTTTCACAGGGTTCCCACGCTGTCCGGGAAAACGGGAAATGTCCGTGAATTTGAACATTGGAGCTCCCGGCCTTGAAAAGTCCGGGAATTAGTGTTGATACATAAAAAAGTCCGGGAAGGTACGGGAATTAGTCTGGAAAAGGGGAGGTAAATCAAAAAAACCAAAATGGCGGTCTTCGCACAGTATATTGACTTCCGCATCTTGAATGTTGATGATTTTCGATTTACAACTGTTTTGGGAGGCCAAGTTTGACATTTATGAGATTTATCATTTATTTTCTGGTTACTATGGCGGTTTTGTTTGGAAAATCTAGGAAGACAGTCACAAATCAACCTCAAGTTTGCTTGATTGGCCCGTGCTAAGATGAAAGCTCACAGGTCTGGTTCTTCTTCTTCCAATACTTTACATAACCTACTCTGGGGCATTGACGTACAGGGTAAATGGTTGTTTTCTTTGGCATTTTTTTGTATCCTAATTGCTCACTACCATGCTAAAAGCCAAAGGTAAATCAATATAAAATAAAAAAATAGTATTACATGCATGAACTATTGTCAAGGCAGCGCACAGCCATATCTGGGTAGCACAAAATACCCAAATATAACAAGAATATACTAAAAATAAATGTGTTTTACTAAAAAAGTGCTGTTTTAATCATGAATACAATATACACTTTCACTAAGATGTAATGAAACATACCCAAATATACATTTTTGAACCAATTTATACCCAAATACAGTATACTCCATTAAAGCTATTAAATTAAAAAAATAATACGAATGAACTTGTATGAAATTTCAACAAAATTATACCCTACAAATTTAAATGTAGACAACGAATATTATCATATCTTGCAAGTACATGTGCCTATTCATTAATGAACCTAACAGTTAGATAAGCAAATGTCACATTTTTTTTCTTACAACATCAGAACTGCCAATTTCAATGGAATGATCGAAAGTTATAGTTGGCTAAGTCATATTATTTTGTAAATATCAATTCATTTTCTCATTAAAATCAATATTGTATACAAACCAAAATGAATATTGCTATAATTTAGTGTGTTTGGGTATATTTGGGTATTTCATGCTGCCGCCATATTTTGTAGATGGTTTAAAAAATTGTAAGATCAAATCAAAAGATATGTCATTGAAATACAAAAAAGAATCCCTAAATAACATCCAAAACGGCAAATTGAAAATGTTGTAGACTAGGGCTTGATATATGGTACTGGAAAGTGCACCCCGTAGCACTGGCTTAAGCAGAATACTATATTTTAACATGAAAGTCGTGAAATTTTGAATGTAGAAACACCTGCAGGCAGTTTTCATATACCCTTCAGTGTGACATGCTTTTGCCATTCTATGAAGCCTTAGTGGACTGAGGTCAAATGTCACGTTACTAATTAAAGTACTATGAATATCTGGTATAAAAAGTGATCCCTTGGAAGCATTAAAAACAGCAAAATTACATGAAAATTGCAGACAACCTACAAAAACAGTTGCTGTCACAAAGTTCATTTCATTATTTATAGACACTGAATGTATTTCTTAGAAAGAATTAGATTTATGTCATGAACTACATGTATTATATTGGTGTTATTAAATGTTGTTCTAAACATTACCATGAACATATTCATAGGACAAAAAAATCAAATACATGTAGCTTGAAATTTAATCTTCTAAAAAGTCCTTAAAAAATCAAAAAAGGTCCTTGATAAGTCCTGGAAAAGTCCTTAAATTTTCAAAATATCTAAGAGTGGGAACCCTGCTTTCAGTGTTTCCCACCTACATGTAACTAGAGGTGTACTGGTAAGAAATCCAGGTAAAACTTGCATGTATCAGTGCTATACACATCACTAGGCATGTAAAAGAACCAAGGGGTCTATTCAATAAGAGCTAGGGACTATTTACCAGATTCCGTTGTATCTCATAGCTTTCTCTCAAGTGCTTGGTTAGAAGTTTCCAACCCTGTCCTTGCTGATGGATGGTCAATGATACTACTGGGTGCAACTGCCAAACAACATAAACTGTCAGACAGGTATATACAATGTACCTAACAAAAAACTTAAAATTAAGAGCCGTCAGATGTGGCAAAATTAAACAGTCCATGAAAAATTCCATTTCATACAAACTTTGCAAAAAACTAGTAGATCGACAAATTTAAGATAACCGTGGATGAGTACAATAAAACCTAGTCCAACTAATTAGACTTGTCAAAAAGACTTCTAGATGATTTTGGTCGGGTGATGTCCTTTTCCGTTTGACAGTATGAAAAAAAAAAGTTTGTAAAATGGGTAAAACCATTCACACCAAATTAATAAGACTAAATAAAACCAGTCAAGTATATCAAAACAAATCACTAATTTTGAAAGGGAGATCATCATGCTTACCTTCAAAATAGATTGATCTTAACTATATAAGCCCGGTAACAGACATGATAATAAAAAGCCCCTGTCAGTATTGATAAAAGATTTTATGTTTAACAAAAAATACTACATATGATACAGGTGCTGGTATGAGCCCCATGTATGGTGATTATGAGGCACAGAGACATTGGCAAGAAGTGACTGTAAATCTACCTGTGGGAGAATGGTAATGTTTGTCTTTCTTTTTAAAGCTTTTTTTCGACTCACAAGTAGTTTAAAAGTTTGTCTGCTGTATCTAGCCAGAATTATTGGACTTGTCAAAGAGGCATGGAGATACTTTTGGCTGGCAAGGTATTTTTCAAATGGTTTGACAATAGGAAAAAAGCAGTCAAACAGTTAATGCTGGATCAAGCACCACCTCTTGATGAGATAAAGGCTGTCTCATATTCTCTTGGAATTTGATTAGTGTCTAAGGGTTGTGACTGTCACTATCTGATGACTTTATCTGACACATTGTTGTGTCATTGCGTGGGTGAGAGATGACCCATCAGACAAGTAATATAAGAACTGCTGGTGAGAAGTTTCCAACCCTGACCTTGCTTATGGAAGGTCAATGATTCTACTGGGGTGCGTTTTACCATAATACAAACTTGTATTGGTTTAAATGCATTATTATTAATTAATTTCAGGTATACTAACTCCAGCAGGAATGATCTTATGTACTGGGGACTTGATTACCCCCCTTTAACTGCTTATCACAGCAAGATTGTTGGACTGATGTAAGAAAGCATTTTATTTTTATTAAAAAAAAACAAAAACAACAAAAAAACAATATTAAAAAAAAAACATTAAAAATTTCTTTATTGATTTTAATCATATGTATAAATTATTATCTGTTGTTTATATGAAAATGAGACACAGTCATTGAATTTAGCACTGGCCCGGTGGCCCATGGCCAGTGAAAATTAGTTAAATTAGAAAATATGGTTAAATATATAGTAGAATGAATTCAAAAACTGGAATTCGGGCCGGTAAATTCAAAATCTTAAATTCAATGACTGGAGACACACATATATAAGAAATACACTTTTTGCCTGTCATAAATTTAAAAAACATGAAGATTTAGGCATTATATTTCCTGCAATAGCATGTAGTTCTTTTGTTACTGTATGAATAAAAGGAGTGGTGGCATGACCCAATGGTTCATGCTTGGGACTAGTAATATAATGATCGCTAGCCGCATGGGTTCAAACCTTGACTGCGGCAAGTCATTGTTTCCTTCAGCAAGAAACTACACTCATTGCTCAGTACTGGTTGGTTCCAGGAATTGATTCGAAAGGTTGTTTATAAGCTAATAGCTTCCTACACAATCAAACTAAAATAAATTCTGTATAAACCAAATAAAAGGTTAGAATAGAATGACACAGACAGTTTGAAGTGATCTTGAGATTTTGAACACAGCTGATTATTATTTTATTCTAGAGCAAAGGTTATAAATCCAGAATGGGTTGCCTTAAATTCATCCAGAGGATACGAGAGCTATGAGCATAAACTTTTTATGAGATTTTCAGGTAAATGTTTCTCATTTTGTTTACTTTGTATAAAGTAGAATGTTGTTTTTTTTAATGAATATTCAATACATGTATATCTCACTAAATAGTTAGAAATTATAGATATTTTCAAGAAAGTGCGAGTAAAAATATAGATATGTCCATAGTCACAAAAAACAAACAATTTTTCCTTTTATCTTGCACCACATAACTTGTATCTCACTGATATTTTTCAGTATCTCATCAAAAGCCATGATTGTTAAAAGATTTTTTTTATTAACGATGTACTTGTAATTCAAAACACATTCTATTTATAAACAGGTTTGAAATATTTTTGATGTGTCGAAATACATTTGAGCAGCGTCACGACAAAACCAACATAATGGGTTTGCAACCAGCATGGATCCAGACCAGCCTGCGCATCCGCTCAGTCTGATCAGGATCCATGCTGTTCGATATCAGTTTCTCTACTTGTTATACGATTTGTAAGCGAACAGCATGGATCCTGATCAGACTGCGCCAATGCGCAGGCTGGTCTGGATCCATGCTGGTCGCAAACCCACTATGTTGGTTTTGTCATGGCGTGGCTCATTTTATTTAGTTGTATTGTTGTTTTGTATTTTCCTAAAAGTAACATCTTTTATGCCATTTTAAAATTTTACAGTGTTGTTTGCTGATCTTCTTGTGTATTTTCCTGCCGTCATGTGGATATTCACTGCAAGGAAACCAAACCCCAAAGATTCTGACTCGGCTGTAAGCAAAAACATTTCTGCATGTCTTCAGGGTGGAGATTTAATTGTTTTTGATTTTATGGATATTTATTTCTGATTTTTAGTAAAATTGAAAAAAAAATATTATTAGTGTAAAAAGATTTACTGGGTCATCAGATAAGTAATGATAAATGTTCATATATTTTTTTTTATAATTTGGCTATGTTTGAAAATCCTATTTACATATATAAGTTTTCTGATTTTATTGACACTGCCAGAGTCATATTTGTTTGCTATAAAAATATGAATGCACATTTTTCACTAGATATATGGAATATATTATACATTTACTTATTTTTATAAGAAGATAAACAAGGTAAGATAAATTGAATTTTCTCCTACCTTAAACCAAACATATTAAAACGCCCAACTAAAAATCAATCATACATGATCATACTTTATATCTACCCCATCTTTTAGGCAGTGCATGGTAATTGTAAATGGGATAAATATACCAATCTTTTAGCTCGTGAAAAGATAAATAATAGCTTGTAACATGACTAATAATGCTTGTAACATGACTATAACTAATTGCCTGTTTTCTGTTTACAGGTGAAGAGTTATTTACTGATGTTGATGTATCCAGGTCTTATTCTTATTGATTATGGCCACTTTCAGTATCCTTTTGTGTGAAAAGCTTCTCTTTACTTTGAAGACCATCTGTTTATTGTTATAACGGTTTGCTTAATCTTGATTGTTTTATTTTTGTTACAGACTTGTTTTGATTTAAATTTAAACAAGTCCATTGTTACTTACACGTAGTTGTTCTGAAATGAAATGACCAGTAGTAATAATAAGCCTTGTATTCTCTTTCTAATTAAAAAAAAACCACAACAGCTTGGAATAAGAACCTGTAGAATCTATTTGGAGGAGTAGCCAAGTGGTTAAAGCATTGAGAAAAGCTGGCTTTGTGAGTTCGAACCAAGACATTATGCCATTTTGAAAAGGCAGAGAAATTAATTTTTCAAGTTGTGCCCCTTTTTAGATCCACTTTGAAGAAATAAATGGAGTTTTTGTCATGACCCTCTCGTCAGATTCGGTATCGGTTAATCTTTTTATTTTCTCAGACATTATTAACATGATTAAAGCTATTCACTTTACACATGTTCATTGTCATAAAAGGATAACATTTCAAAAAGGCAAAATACTTCTTTAATTATTACTTTGCAAAGTTATGCCCCCTTTTCTATGTTGCTTTTATTTACTATCCAACACTGAGAAAAATTAAAGTGTGCTGTCTGGTGCTTTCATCACACAATGTTGAACTAAGGAAAGTAGAATGTGCTGTCCATATACAGGTCTTGTTAAATTTTGACATATCCTGCATACAAATGTTAGAACTTCTGACATTAATATCCTTGAGATGTTTTCAATATATGACCTTGACTGTGAACAGATATAATTGTATAAGCCTCGGACTAGCTCTAGCAGCTGTAACCAGTCTAGCTGACTCGCAGGATGTTCTCGGTTCAGTGTTGTTCTGCTTGTCTCTCAATTATAAACAAATGGAGTTGTATCATGCAATGCCATTCTTCTGTTTTTTACTTGGTTCGTGTTTGAGAAACTGTAAACATGGAGGGTAAGCACTTTGAAACATGTTGTCATGGCATGTTTATATAGAGACTGTGTAGCTATTTTTTAAAAAATATTCAGTTTAGTATTTCTGTAATATTGAATCACCATTTTATATTTTTGAGACACTTAGTCAGAACAAACACACAGTAATTAAATTTGAAATGTGTAGAAAACAGGAATGTTTGGCAGATAATTGGGATAAATAGAGAATCCAGGACAAAACCACACAGTCACAGTAATTTCTAGAAAACAGGTTTTTTTTGCAGTTACTTGGGGTTCAAGAAGAAAATCTAGTAATATTTTGTTTGTAGTTGTACCATCTAGTGTGAATACTAATACTTACTGGCACAAAACAGAAAAGGAAATACTGTTACCAACTGGGAAGCAGATAGTTATTTTTGTACCAATCAGTTTCTCAAATGTTGAGGTATATGATTATTTAACTTTAACCTTGCTGCAGGCGACTGAATTTACCTATGTTGTCACTGCAGACCAAGATTCATGCCTTCCGATAGACTGCTCTGTTTACTGTTCAATCAGTAAAAAAAATTGAAAAATTTTGCTTAAAATGATGATTAGTTTTCTTAACTTAGAAAGATGGATCTTTATGGTGTACGGATCAATGTGTAATATCATATGTATTTTCTTGTTTTCAGGATAGTTCAGCTTATAAAGATCGGACTAACAGTGATTGTAACATTTGCTGTTTCCTGGGCACCATTTCTGTACAGTGTAGACTCAGTAATGCAAGTGGTCCATAGATTATTTCCATTTGCAAGAGGAATTTTTGAGGTAAGTGCAGTTTAAAATACTGTTGTAAATTTATATCAATATCCAGAAATAGCTATCTTAGTTATTTTTTTAAATTATGTTCATTAAAAATGGCAAAAATCATTGTTTGATTTGCCACTTTATATGTGATAAAGTAGTATTTCATACCTTCTGTTTTGTACCACAACTTCCTTGAGAAATGGCTATAGAGTATGCAGTACATGAAATATTGATCTGGATATATGTAAGTCTTTAGTTGAAAGTGAACTTATTTGTTCATCAGAAAAAGCAGTTCACAATGGGTTATGTTACCAAATGGAAACAAGCAAGTTCGTGTAATGAATACACGATTTGGAAACCAAATAATACATTTTATAAAGACTTACATTTATAAAGACTTACATTTTATCCCTTCTCTAATATTATTATTTACAAAAAAATTGTTCTGTAAATTTTTCAGGATAAGGTATCCAACATATGGTGTTCTCTCTCTGTTGTTATAAAATGGAAACAGGTCATGACTAGAGACAATATTCTTCTTTTGTGGTAAGATATGTGATGCTTCTAGCCAATAATGCCATTCTGGTGTATGCTTAAATGTATATGATTAATATTTGGTATACAATGCTATTGAACAACTGCTGTATAAAGTGTTTGAATATATAGCTTTGCATTCCTTGGAGTGTAAGAACAAAAATGTCATAGGCACTATACATTTTTTGTGTGAAGGACAACATTGTAAGCTTGAACTGAAGGAAAAGTTTTGAATTGGGCAGTGTTTACATTATATTTAATTCTCTAATCCGAATGTTTTGTGTTTTTGAAACCAGAGAAAAATTATAGACATTTGTCTGTATTGTCAAAGACTTTGAAATTTTTCATGTTTTATGAAGCTATCCAGTTAGCTTATGGTGGTGGGTGGTTCTACCCAAGTGCCAGATCGTGCCTTAAGTCTTCCGTTAATAGTGAAGCTACAAAGTCCCTGTAAATTTTTTGAGTATTTAAGAGACATTGACCCAGGCAAAAGAAAACTTATGAAAAATTTTGGTCAGCATTTTAATGTCAATGACTGAATATTTTTTATTTAGCTCATCTGTTTTAATGAAAAAGTCAGGCGATTATGGTCACTGTGTTGTTGTTGTTGTCGTAGTGCAAAAACTTAATTTTGTAGCTCTTTTAAAAGGTATCACATGAAACTGTAAAAACTTGCTTATAATCATAAGTTGCACAAGGGGCATAATTCTGTAAGCAATATTTTTTGAGTTATGCCCCTTTTAGTTAGAATTTTTAACAGGATGAGTATTAACACCGCATCTGTGCTCTTGTTTATAATTGTTAAAATACAAATTTTGCTGCATCTAGGACTATCTACTGGCTAATATTTGGTTATAAATACTATTTTTTTTCAGTTTATGTTCGACTTGTGTGTGCCTTTTGCCATCATCACTTGACCTTTTGTTTCGTCCATCATTTAAAAAGTTCAGATATGCATTGGTAGGTAGGCTGAATGTTTTGTTTCACAATATACATGATTGACACAACAGTATGAAGCCTTGTCAGACTGCATGGGGAGCAGGTTGGCCTGGCTCTATACTTATAGCAAAGGCTTATTGCTTCAGGTTTATTTGCAAATGAGAATGACTTTTAAAGCAGACGATAATTTTAGTAAGAACCTTCTTTATGAAGTTTATGTCCCAAACTATATAAATAGTTTATACATAACAAAAGGTCAATGTCGCAGTGACTTTTTTTGTCAAAATTGAACAAAACTATTATGTAAAATTTTAAAGGCTGTTAAGAAATGAACTCTTGGTGAAATTTTTGCCCTCTTTATAGCCAAATTTTAATCAAAATAAAATAGTGTAAAATTTCACTTGCAGATTCAAAAACTGATATGTAATCATGATGTATGATGTTGTATTAAGTACTGAAGCTTAATTGATACAAGTATTTTTCAGTAAATGTATATTTTCAGGTAAATTCATCCATGGTGTTTTTCCTGTTTTCATTCCAAGTCCATGAAAAAAGTATTCTTTTAGCAGCATTGTAAGTATTATCGTTTTCTTTATATATTTGAATTTAACCTTTATTTGATTGAGTCCTACAGTCTGACCAGGCTCTATATTGTTTGAAGCTCAGTTTTAGTATTTTGTGAATGAAATCCCTTAGACTTCAAAGGGCTATTCCAATTCAAAGCAGTGTGAATCCATTACACAAATTCAGCAGATAAAGGGTAGAAGATAGTGTATACTAATTTACCATTGCTTAAACTGAATTTATAACATACAACAATATTATTACAACATGTTAGTTATACATTTAAAACTCAATAGGAAGATGCAGGTAAAAGGAGTAGAACTATAGTTTTAAATGTAATGAATCAGTCTTGAATATTAAAAATGTACCTATAACTGTGGAACTGATAATCATTTATACATGTATCTATAAGATATTTAAGATTTTTTTTTTTCAAATCCAAATTCAACTTGGATTGCTCAACTTTTTGTGTGTACTTCAACATTACACTTGTGTGTAGATTCTTTTGTGAATTTTGTTATTTGTAATTCACTAATGTTTAAGTATTGGTATTTTAATTTTTTTATGTAGTCTTATCAAGTTATGTAAAAAATCAAAGTACAGATGTAGAGAATCTGTTTAGATATGGATAAATCAAAGTATCATTAATTTTAGGGATTTTAATAGACATAGGTCTGAACAGGGGTTTGTAGATAAACTAGTGCCCTCTTTTAATGGTAAAAACAGTACAACATGTACCAATAATCCATCTTAACTGTTTAGTTACATTATTTGTTTATACACTTGATTCTTAATACATTTAGGAAATTGGACAAATGGATCTGCAGTGAAACACTCCTGAAATAGTTTAATGGCAATAAATATCAGTCAATTTGTATTTCAGGCATACTTCATTTAATTGCAGCATTGTTTGACATGTGCCAAAAATAGAATTGTATTGTTAAAGGGAGACACAGGCAAAATTTTCGTTTCTTCGTTTTAAATTTTTCATTCATTATTCTGTAAATGTCCTTAAAATGAATACACTAGGCAGTCACAGGAGCAAAACATTTTTTCTTATAATGAATAAATTGTCGGTTTCCTAACTTGACCCGCGTGGGTCAGGTTAGAGCGTTAAAAGTTCATAAAAGTGGTCACAGTGAACTATGGAAACGTCAATGAACAAGTCTAATGAATTGTTTGGACTTGTTTTAATCAAACAATATCCACAATATCTGTCATTGTAACTTCCAGGGTTTGTTCAAGTAACATGACTTGTTTTAAAACTACTCGGCGATTCTGTCCGTGTCTAAATTTCGTTCAACATATATTGATATGTTTATGCTTCAAACCCAAAATATATAGAATTTATACAGAATTTCATCCTTGGATTTTAAGAAAATGTTGTTTTAGCTTGAATTGAGTACTTAAGATCATTTTCATATTTTTGTCATTAATTTGCCTGAGTATCCCTTTAAAAATTTGAAGGGCAAAATGTATGTATAAACATTTTTTTATTGTAGAATTGTTTGTACACTTATACCTGATCATCCCTTCTGGTGCTTTTGGTTTCTTCAGGTTTCAACTTTCAGGTATGTCTGCTCAGAATTGAATTTAATATTTATTATTAATATAGTATGTTGCAACCATGTCCAGTCATATGTTTGTTTTTTACACTCTAGTCTGCTGAATAAGTAGAAAAATATTGAAGGAATTTGATTAAAACTTCACACAGTTATATGGACCAATGAAAAGAAATGCAGTGATCAAAAACTATAACAGTTAAACTGTCTTGCTTAATTTTTTAGATATCTCTTGATTTTATAATGCTTGTCAGGAGAATAACTTCTAAAAAAATTGATGATATATCATTTCACACAGTTGTAGAGATTAGTTAGAAGAAGTGCAGTGTCATGAACCATACCTAAATTGCAGATTTTTTTACTATCTCCAATTATATTACTTGTCTGGAAAATTACCTTAAAAGTATTAAAGAAATTTGATTAAATTTTCATACATTGATAGAAACTATAAAATAAAGTTCAAGAACAATAATTCTATCTTGCTTTATTTTTTAATTGCCAGCCTTTTTGGTACTCTAAAATTTTAACCATAGTATAACTTCTAACCTAATGTGAAGTTTTTAATAACCATAAATCTATGTAAGTTAGTTTTTGTATTATTTAACTTTGTGATACATAATAATGCTTTAAATATTTTCTTTTGCTCTTTATGACTGATGTGCATTGAAATATATTGACAAATGTACAAGTTCAGGGATCATTCTAAAGCTTTATTCTTGTATAAATACTATCTACAAAAATTCTGTTTAAATGTTGTGAGTAAGCTGATTGCATTCAAATAAAGGAGTTAGTAGAGTTGCCTGGTGTCTAACATCTAATTCAACTAGAAGAAAGGGAGTTATGGCCTTGTGGTGAAGGACCTGTGTTTAAGCTTTAATCTGGTCAGGAGCATGTTTCCTCATATGATACCTGATACTTGCTTAGTTTCTGAAAACTGATTTGATTAGGTTCAAATTTGCTTGAAGCTTTCATTACAATCAAGCTATAATAAATATGTTTAACAGCTAACTTGCTGGAACTGAAAGTGAATTACCTTTACCAAAAGGATTGTTACATGCACAGGGTAGCACAAGAGCTCCATTTCTACAAGTAATGTGTCCTTGTGCTTCTGCAGATATAAATGCACAAATAAGATCCATTAAGTCACTAATGTTGGTATCACTTATTAATTAAGTCATCACTCCCCCCATCCACCTCTAAAGAAATTTTCTTAGATTATCTATATTTTGGTTTATGTTTTAATTACAGTATGCTGCCGTTACTACTGAAGGATGGTCAACTGGTACCATACCTTTCCCTTATGTGCCTGTATGCCATTTTATTCTACAATTTCTACCCAGTTGAAAACAAAAATAAGGAAGACCAATCCGAAACAGCTGTCTGGATAAATATTTTCATAAATCTAGCTGTAAGTTGATATGTAAACAAAATAATGCTCTTTCAATATAGTTTGTTGATAGTTAAGTAAACAATTTTTTTTTTTTCAATAGCATTAAAAAGACAATAATTGATAAATGTATTTCGTTAACTTGCATGACAATTCTTTTTAGAAAAAACTTAGACATGGATTGATATCAAATTTAGTAAAACATTTGTATTAAATAGAGGTTATAGTAGTGTGAACAAGTCTTTTAAGTAATGTATATTTCATATTTATTTAATATCAAATCATATATTAATAGACAGTATCAGTACAATATAAAAATGATTCCTTTTATATTTTCAGTTTTGCATATCAATGGTGGGAGTGGTTATCCTTACCTTGGTCATGGTGTTAGTTCCGCCCCCTGTACATTTACCAGACCTCTTCTCATTGGTCATCTCAGTGTATTCTTGTGCTCATTTCCTCTTGTTTACATTGTTCTTCCATTATTGTCAGTTTACAACACAAATGTTTCCATGGAAACTTGCTGACAAATCTCAAAATCATGTGTCGTCAAAGTCAGACACAGTTCACAAATCAAAGGCTTCAAAACCAAAGATAGTTAAAGGAAAGAAGAAAAAGCAGCAATAGATGGGGCAAAAAGAGTTTAAATTGTTATTTATTGAATAAAATCAATCCTCATTATAAAAATACAGCAATAGATTGAAAAAAGAAGGAATTGAACAAGATAAATGCAGAAATAGATAGAAAATGAATTTGTTCTGCGTTGAGTCAGATAAAAACAGCAATAGATGGAGAAGAAAAGAAATTGTTATGTATTGAATAAGATAAAAAACTATATAGAAAAAGAAAAGAAATTGTTATGTATTGAAAAAGATAAAAGCAGCAATATATAGAAGAAAAAGAAAATAAATTGTTATGTATTGAATAAGATAAAAGCAGCAATATATGGAAAAAGAAAAGAAATTGTTGTGTATTGAATAAGATTAAAGCAGCAATATATAGAAAAAGAAAAGTAATTGTTGTGAATTGAATAAGATAATTCCTTTGTTTTAGAAAAAGTTTAGACTTAGAATTGTTGAGTCTTGAATATGCAATATTTTTAAGGATCTGGAAGATGATTAACATTGTACCAAAATTATTGATTTCACATTTTCCTTGTGTTCTGTTTAGAACAAGACAGGTGGTGGTTATTTGAAAAATATTGAGATGTTTTTAATATTAAACTAATGATGAATGTATATAATCTTTGTTATTATTTTGAAAAAAGGGAAAAACTAAATGTTTATGGACTGACTGTTTGATCAAGACATTTAGATTTAGTACACATTCTTTGTTTATAATGAAGATCATGTATTATAACCCGTTTATTATATTATAGCCTGTTTAAAACCATGTCCGACTAGGGAGTCATACTAGGGTCATAAATGTATGACCCCAGTACATAATAATTATCAATTATCTGCCAATTATGTAAGTTAAAAGAACTTGCTTTATAACCAAGCTTTAACTGAATATTCCTTAAAGTATTAATCATTGATGATAAACTAAGAATTGGAGATGTGATAATGTGTTAACTGATCATGTTATGTTTTTATAAAGATGCTGCAATACACAATATTGTAAGGTATATTCTTAGTTTTTTGTAAAGAATGCAAAGTAATCGATTATTTTGAACAATCTACGAAGTATTCAAATCATTTAGAAGTTGGCTTTTACAACAATACAAAAATGTTCACCATCGGAATGATAAATTGCAATGCGGACCAAATCGGGAACGAATGCGGACAAAAACAGGAACCGTTGTAATTGCATTGTCAATTGTCTGCTACTTAACAACTGAAATATTTCAAACATCAGATAGGCATAGGGTGTTTCAAGAGTAAGAGATATATGTCAGTAATTATGTTGTACTGTTTGAAGAGTTTACTACAAGAAATGTTGAGCACTGCAAGATCATTACAATCGTATTTATAACGTTTTTTTATTCCCCTATTCGGTTGAAATAAAATGGAGGTTGTTATAATGAATAAATGAAACCTAAAAACTGTGCTGTTTAATAAGGTCATGTTTCAGTATCATTTTGCTGTGAATTGAGAGCTATAGAGTAATTTTAACTTCAATGTCGTAAAACAGGACAAGACGATTTAAGAAACTTTGAGGCTGAAGATTTAAATAATACCCACCTGAGTGCGTACCCCTTGTGGCTGAGAGGTTGTTTTTAATGGTTGAGGCATAGAACTGCAGCCACCGTTTATGGCTGCGTGATCGTGTGAGGCTACTCAGTGAGTTCGAACAACTGAAGAAGCTTCAGTAGGTTAAAGGGTTTTGACCCCTGGTGTTGCTTTGAAGTTTGTAACACCCAAGGTTATCCAAAATCATCTTTCCTGTGTAGGCGCCATATGACCTATAATGTGTTGGTGCGCCGTTAAACCAAACAAACTAACCATATCCCGTCAATTTAAATAAAGTCGGTCCATTTGTACATTTAACGCACACTAAATGCCTTCTTGCATTAGAAGACACCTGTCCATCATGTCATGTACATGTTTGGGTAAACCTGAGGAATTCTATTTTATATTGTATAAATTTACACCCATCATTAGTTTGCTGTTATAGCTGTCAAATTAAAGACGAAAATAAACAACAATAATTATTTGTAAACCTCCAGACAAACAAATATTCAATGGAAGCAAACTGTTACTATGATCTCTTGGAGAAGAACATGATAGTTTTAATGCATTGGTAAAACATTAAAATGTGTTAAACCATTTCAATTGTTTATAAAGTAATGTCAAATTTCCCTTTGTCTAAATTAAGTATGTCTAGTGCTTTCATTGGTCATTTGACTCTACACGCAAAAAGGTGACTTTTACTACTAATCCAATGCAAGTGCCTAACAATGTATATAAAATATCATACTAGTAAGATACCAAATTACTCGTAACTAAACGCGTACTCAATATGTGTACCAATTTGTTTATTGCATACACAGAGAACTAAACCTCAGTGTTTATAATGCCAAACTCGCTGTTTTGTAATAACATTTAAAGAAGAAATTCAGCTGTTATTTGCCAAGCAGTGTACGGTCATAAGAATGATTTTTAGTACTTTCTGTGACGCATTTTCATAACTTAAATTAGATATTTATAAACGTCTGTTGTAAGTAGGAAAAAATCTACTGATAAATTTAGAATTGATAAGAAGTGGTTTAAGAACAGGTTGCATTCGGTTCTTTGAATATTGAAATGTTAAAAGCCACATAAAATCCACATATTGTGAATGATTTTCAGTAATTGTTTTCACGTTCATGAATGAGAACTTTTGTTGCATGTTCAAACCAGCGTTTTCTGCCGTTTCCCGGCGATTACCGACTTTCTTCTGGCACTATCAACGTTTTATCAAACGTCTAAGAACGCTGACCACAACGTTATGGTGTGACGGGGGCCCCATAATATATGAGTATGATGTCAACGAAGTTTTGTTTGCTCTTTTAAATGAAAGTATACTGCAGTAGACATTTTTCCTTTATTGTAAACCTATTTTGATTTGATTCAAACAGCAACATACGTGCCAATTTAATACAAAATAGTGAATTTATTTTGCAAGCACAATATCGAGTGATATCAATTTAATTCGCCGAAGTGATATAATGATGCGCATCCGAACGACAAACGGTGATTTTATCAAGCGATAAAATCACCGAGTTGGATATCTTATTTCGATTCTAACACAACAACAAATAAATACTGCAGTACCTGATAATTAGGTACTGTAACGTAATAATTTTCAGCGCGTCGCATTTTTAGTGGTTACGTCACGTGTATAAAAGTTACGTCACATGTCTATATATTGAATGTCATTGCATAATAACAATAAAAAAGCGGTTCGTGTTAGAATTGTAAATAACATAAAATCTGTTTAAAAATGATCAAAGAACTCGATATTTTTAATCCAAAATATCTTTCTACATAACATATTTGACACGTAAATAAGTATTCATAGCAAAATAGCCGACTGATTTAAAGAACATATATGAACAATTCATAAAACAAGTGCTTTAATAGCGCTGCTTATATTGATTTACATCGATTTTTTTATTTAGACAGTTTAAGTGTAGATTATATTGGCACATTTAGTTCAATGACACATTAAATTTTATTGATGGTAATAATCATACCAGTTTGAGAGAAAGGAAGCTGCCAAACTTTTAGATAGATTATTTTCTAGTTTTTCGGTTAGATCATAACATTCAGAGAAAAGAAATATGATTGTATAGAAGCACGTATATAATGCCAAGGAAGCAGATATAATCTTGGACAATTTGACTATCCTAATTACAATTGTATGGAATCTTTACGGGACAGAATGTGTAATTTCGCTACAATAATTTTATATTTATTCCATTAATAACACAATCTTAGAATAGATTAAACAGTATCACAATGTATACAATGTGTCGAATACATCGGTAAATACAAATAAAAACAAATATGATCATAATCTAGGCAAAACTGTTTCCTCTATTCATTTTCAATAAATGACAAATCATAACAATGAGTTATATCAGTATAACGAAGGAAATATTATGACATATGATGTAAAATGGCATTTTAAAGCAATATTAGGTAGATCTACCCCACACAAGGAAAAGGAAAACATTAATTGAGGATTTTGTTACTTGAAAGAATATAATTAAAAAAAAAAGAATATCTCCTAGAACCAGATAGACGCAGATCTCTTGAAACAATACTTTTCCTTCAAAGCCGAGTATGTTACTATCTCGAGAATGTCGTGCTTTATGAATATAATTATCTTTGGGACGGCGGCAACATGTCTGTGGCAGAAATACAGTTACTGACTAGAAGACAAGAACTAGATAAAGTAACATCTTTTGGCAAAAATCCATTGAGAAGTTGCAGCACTTTGAAATCAATTTTGATGGAAAGAAATCAACACAAAAAGTGAATTTTGGCAAATTTGAGATGTCCCCTCGTTGCCACGGTAACAGGAAATTTAATCCTGAGCATGTTGTTACAAAGGCAATGTCAACATTTGTGACAAGTTTATTGGTATTGAAGCAGTTTTTATAGTTTTATAGCAATTTGAACTTGTAACGGGAGACTTTTCAATGAAAACAGTCATCTTTCACAAAGTGCTTATGCAGTAATGGGTTAATAAACTAACAGATAGATTTTAGAACATATGAAGGCTAACGCTCACTAAATCGATGAAATATGACGCCTAACTAAATCAATCAAAATGACCGGCAATCCGTAAAGTTATTGTTTATATTTGTTGTATTTTTATGAAAAGATAAAAGATAAATATTTGTGATCATACATTTGATTGGCACGAGCTGATGACGTGTGTAAAACAAATCAAAACTATGTATATGTAATATTTTACGCAAGACCTGTATTACTAGATATACACACACACTTTAATGAAAAAGCAATGTACGAAACGGGAAATAAACTAAGATTTGTAATACAATAAAGTATTAATTGATCATGTTATGTCAAAGAATGAAAAACGTATCACGTAAATTCAGGATTTCATATGACAAACAAATTGTACTTCAGAATAATATATTATAAAGTATAGTTGATCATTTTGAATCATTTGCTCGTTATCGTTTTCACTGCTGCTTCCAAAATAAATACTCTTTGAAATTCATATCTTTTATTAAAAACAGAAGAACATAGCATAAATCAAATCATAGAACTTTAAGTCTTAGTGAAAATATACATATCAATAAATCAAACCAAGCAAAGTGTACATAAAACAATGCAAAGATTTAGCGTTATAAATCGAGTAATTCAAACAATGTTAATGATACTATACACGAAGCTATAAATGTATTAATGATTTCTAACTCTTTAAAGCAGTAAGAATGTAAGTTTGAAAAAAGAACAAAAAAGAAACAACATATTTCTTGTGTGTGTTAATTGCAATTATTAATTGGATTGTCCCCTTTTCTCTATTTTATCATGTAGAAATTTTATGGTGCAAAAATGATACTTCAAAAGCTAAGAATTTTCCACCGGTGCCAACAAAATGCTTATAAATTTTCAAAAAATAATATAATCGACTGTATACATGTATAACTACACCCCCGAACCCCCGAAAAAAACTTTTGCCAATAAACATAAAAACTTCTATAGAATGTTTATTATTTATACCTTATTGCTAACAGAAACAACATGGTAAATATTGTTATTAATTAAAGTATTTAAATACATT